AATGGAATGAAGGATGATGGGATCTAATGCTAGGGCATTCAGAGTTTAGCAAATCTGGCGTTGGTGAAACACCCTCCCGGCAAAGTCCCAGGTGGGCCCTGGTCTGAACCTTGTCTATTTATGATAAAGCAACACCTTCCCTGGAGCACTGATCTCCCAACTGACTGCGACTCATTCAAACCCTCTTCTGCCTGTCATGAAACACCGAATCCAAGGCACTTGTCATTTCATTACCTGTACTAGAAAAGGTAAGACGAGTTCATTTTCTCAGTGGTATTTCTATCAGCAGGGAATTGACTTTTTAATTTGCTTCTGTTATAATTCATTAAGGCTTTTCTAATAATTCTTACATATGCTTTAATCATTAATAAAACCAAAACAAAAAAAGTACTTCAAATAAGAGTCAAAGGCGGACAGCCAGTGGAAAACGCCCTGCTCCGGGTCCTCCACCTTCTCGTCTCCTCTCTCACCACTTCGGATCAAGTTTCTGCATTTTCAAATAACTACCATTAATCACAAAAATCATTGATATTTGGTGTGCCTAATCTAAAAATTCACGTTGTTACTCCTTGTTGAAATAAATAGTTTTTGTCTTCTAATAACATAACTTTTTTATTTAATAAAAGCAATGTAACCTCTTGCATTTTCATGTATAATGCTTCATTCAAAACCTGTCGCACCCCACAGGTTAGGAATACTGAATTGTCTGAACACTCCTTTTGATTTTTTAAGTTTATCTCCTGTCTTCTTGCCCTATTTCTAAAGGTTGTACCTTATGTGTCTTTTATTGTAAACCACACCAAATTCTTTTCTGGAGAGATGCTGATGAATAATGAATGCAAATGTATGAGTAGACTTTTAAATACCCATTTTGTACTTTGTATTCTTTATCTAACCTGCATTTAAGCTTTGATCATTATGCAGAAATATTTGTCAATTATTCCAAAATTTAAAAACAACTTTATCATTCTAGAACCTTATCTAATGGAGAATAAAATAAGCACACAGAATTTCCTATCCAATCAAATAAAACCACAAGCATATGCCTATCTATTGCAAGCTGTGTTTTCACCTGACTCCACAAGTTAATAACTTTGACTTTTAAAAATGTGTTACCTTTCCTATGAACTGTTACAGAAGCTTGGGCCAGAAAGTCACATAAGAGGCTGTTGAACTAGGCAAAAGATTTTAAATTTTAGAAGGACTTTGCCCTACAATAGAGGACAAAAATCTGCTGAGGAACAGTTCTATGTAATGACAAATTGGCTTTACCTGGGAGTTCATATTTCAAGCGGAAAATCATTCTAAGGGTATATAAAAAAGGTGAATAGTTGAACTTTGAGAATGTACATGTAAAATTACTTGTTTAGAAAATGCAACACTTGATGGAATATTTTATGAATACATAATAAAAATGTTTTCAATAAATACATACTCCAAATCACCAAAATATTATGAATAGATGAAGTAAAACTTTTCACACAAGTTAAAAATGTCTTTTTTTGGCCATCGTGGATTAGGCTGTCGAGTAAACTACAATCCAGTACCCTGCAAAGTGAACTCAGAGCAAGGAATAAAAGCAAGCAAAATACACACGCACACACAGACACACACTACCAATGTGCCCTTGTGGCCTAGATTTCAAGGGGAAAAACCAGAAACTCATTAAGATGTTGCTATCATCCAAAAATAGCAGAGGAGTTTCTGAACTATCCATAATTCACCAACGGGCACATCTGAGAGCTCCCATAGACACTGATGCATTATCCTTATCATGTCATTGATGCCTAACACTTCTGAACCCATCAAATGCAGTTCTGAATGGACAGGACATTAATCTCCATGTAAGATGATCATCACTTTGAAACCTGAAGTGATCTCAAATTTCCTAACAGCTTAAATGACAATACTGCAGGGGAAAGTAATACATAGTGTGCTGATTCATTTCCTGTCTGCCAAAAGAAGATAGCATCTCACATAACAGCACACTGATGAGCTCCTGCTTAGTGAGTTCTGATACTATTTCCAAGTACCAGAGGGAGGAGATCATAATGTCCAGATTTCACGAGCTGACTAGTTCTGTTTTCCAGGAGTAGCAGGAGGCTTAGACACTATCCAGAGATCCTGAAGGGGCTGCATGGGAATATTTTTATTTCCCCTAAACTGATATTCTAGTAACTTCCATGTGACATTGTTGCTTTCACAGAGCATGAATTTCATGGTGAAAAGTATTACAGATGGCATTTTCCCTTCTTACAGTAACATAATTCTTTTCACAATGAGTTCTTTAAAGTATGAAAGAATATTTCAAGGTAACTATGTCATGGCAGATTTTTAATCTGTACTAGGAAGTCTGGATAGGCTTTCAAAATTTGCATCACTCGAAAACCTCAGAAAATATTATGAAACTAGATCCTGGGGGCTCCAGATTTATTTAAAGAGAAAATAACACCAGATAAAGTACAGACTACAATATAATAATAGTAATAGTAATAATAATAATAATAAAGTATTATGAATATAAGGTAATAAATTTAACAAAAGAGGTAACAGGAATAAATTCTTACAAAAATGTACTGGCACAATAGGAAACAGAACACTTAAATAAAGAAAAAAAAACACAAGAGGAGTTCTGGCCAAGATAGAGGTGTAGGTGGATATGCCTGTTCACACAACTGAAGGAAGAAAATAACCAATTTAAAAACTAACAAAAAAAACAGAATCGCCAGAAAATCAAACTGTATGGATGCCTGACAACCAAGGAGTTAAAGAAGAAACATTCATCCAAATTGGTAGGAGGGGTGGAGAGAGGCGGATTGGGGCAGAGAGGATGCATAGCAAGGCGGCAGCTGGCAGACTGGGCAGCCGAGGCAGCCGAGGCAGCCGCTGGCAGACCAGGTGGCCCCACATTTGCATACGGGTAAACTGGGAGAAACAACAGGGGAGTGAGACTGACCACGAAACCCAAGGTTCCAGGGTGGGGAAAAGCAAGCCTCAGAACCTCTGGCTATAGAAACCTGGGGGGGGGGGTTGGCAGCGGGAGAAACTGCCAGTCTCTTCAGAGCTGGGTGAGAGCTGAGCAAGTGGCATTGTTCCCGCTCTTACCCTGCCCCCACACATAGCACCACAACGCAGCAAAATGGGTTCCCCCACCCTGACGAATATTCTAAGGCTCCACCCCTTACTATGTAACAGGTATGCTGAGATAAAGAAATATGGCCTAAATGAAAAAACAGATCAAAATTTCAGAAAAAGAAGCGATGAAGAGATAGCCAACCTATCAGATGCAGAGTACAAAACAGTGGTAATCAGGATGCTCACAGAAATGGTTGAGTATAGCTGCAAAACAAAGGAAGAAGTGAAGGCTATACAAAGTGAAATAAAGAAAAACATGCAGGGAACAGAGGCGAAGGAAAAGAAACTGGGCCTCAAATCAATGATTTGGAACAGAAGAAAAAAATAAACATTAAATCAGAATAGAATGAAGAAACAAGAATTCAAAAGAAACGAGAAGAAGCTTAGGAACCTCCAGGACAACTGTAAATGTTCCAACACCCCAATCATAGGGGTGCCAGAAGGAGAAGAGGAAGAACAAGAAATTGAAAACTTATTTGAAAATATAAAGAAGGAGAACTTCCCGAATCTGGCAAAGAAAATAGACTTCCAGGAAGTCCAGAAAGCTCAGAGAATCCCAAAGATGTTGGACCCAAGGAAGCACACACCAAGGTATAATTATTAAATTGCCAAATATTAAAGGTAAGGAATCTTAAAAACAGCAATAGAAAAGGAGAGTTACCTACAAAGGAGTTCCCATAAGACTGTCAGCTGATTATTCAAAAGAAACCTTGCAGGCAAGAGGGGGCTGGAAAGAAGTATTCCAAGTCATGAAAGGCAAGGACCTACATCCAAGTTTGCTTTATTCAGCAAAGTTATCACTTAGAGTGAAAGGGCAGATAAAGTGCTTCCCAGGTAAGGTCAAGTTAAAGTAGTTTATCATCATCAAACCATTATTATATGAAATGTGAAAGTGACTTATCTAAGATAAAGAAAATAAAAAATATGAACAGTAAAATGACAACAAACTCAGTTATTAACTGAACCTAAAACAAAAAGCAAACTAAGCAAACAACTAGAACAGGAACAGAATCTCAGAGATGGAGATCACATGGAGGGATATCAGAAGGGAGGGAGAGGGTACAGAGGGGGAAAATGTACAGGGCATAAGAAGCATAATTGGTTGGTACAAAATGAGAAATGGAGAAGCAAACTTGTATGTATGATGCACAGACATGAACTAAGCGGCAGGGAATGCAGAGGGCGTGGAGGTGCGGTCCTGGGCAGAGGGGCGAAAAGGGGAGAAAAAAGAATGGGACAACTCTAATAGCATAATCAATAAAATATACTTTTAAAAAACCCTACAAAAATAGAAAGTGAAATAGAATTCCTCATTAAAAACTTTCTTATGCCGAGTAATTACAAACAAGTTTCTCCTTGTTTATTGACATTAAAAATGTCTATTCTAGAGTGATAAAAGTTGCAGAAATATATTTATAGCCTGATGTTTTTAAAGTATATGAACACATATATCTACATGCCTGTAAGAAAACAGTTGAGAAAACTATTTTCTCAACAATGCTATTTTTTAAACTTTTTTTTTTTTACAGTGGCATACTAGATACCACACTGTGAAAAGTACTTTCTCCTCTAGGGTGCTACTTAGAAACATCAGTGAATTCAACTTTACATAGTTTATGTTGTTTCAAATTCTTATAAGTACATAATGCTCTTATTAAAATGGGCACAGACTCATAGATGGAGAGCAGGCTGAGGGTGGTTGGTTAGGAGCGGAGGGACTGAGCAGAAAGGAAAAAGGCCTCATGGACATGGACAATAATGTGGTGATTGCTGGGGGCAGGGGGTATGAGGGGATTAAAAGTTAATGAGAAAAATACAATAAAGATGAAATAAGATACAAAAAGAAAAAAACCCAACAAAATTGGTGAATTTTTGTACAGCCATTTTAATAATGGAGATGGGAGAAAAATACGCAACGTTTTCGGCATATTATGCTTTATTATTTCAAGAGAGGTAAAAACACAACTGAAATGGAAAGATTTAAAGATCTGTGCAGTGTATGGAGAAGGTGCTGTGACTGATCAAAAGTGTCAAAAGTGGTTTTGCAAATTTTCATGCTGGAAATGTCTCCCTAGACAATGCTCCCTGGTTGGGTAGACCGGCTGAAGTTGGTATCCATCAAACTGAGACATGAACTGAGAACAATCAATGTTATATCGCTTGGGAGAGAGCCAGCATACTCCAAATTTCCAAATCAATAGAGTTATTGGTGAAAATGAAAAAATATTCTGTATAAAAGAAAATCTTAATGAAATGCATGGTCAAATTTAAGCCACTGAAATAATCAGAAGAATCTAGCTTTTCTCCCATGTACCAAGGAAAGCTTACAGAAAGTGTAGAAGAGAACTGTTTGGATGGAGTCACAAGTAGTGACAAACTCATGCTCTGACTTCGGAAACAGAATGGCAGTCAGCTGGGAAGTGAGCAGGGCAGATTTCTGCTGTTCCTGTGACCTGCTTGTAGTTAAAACACAGGAGCTGCACTCATTCGCAACGTGGGCAGCCCGTGAGTGCCCTACTGTGTGGAGGCGGCTTTCTCGGGTGGACAGGGATGTATTCAACTTCTTCAATTCCATCAACACCAGTCTGTCTACGTTCACTTAGAAACAACCCCCAATATTCACCATGACCAGCAGTAAAAAGTAAAAAACAGGGAATGGCACATTGCATCTGGGCATGTATAGTTCCCTGATAAAGCAGTGTAATGAGGGTGCCCACAGAAAGAGCCTGCAAGCAGTGCGTATTTCATCATCATGTCTAGAAAGACACACAAGCCTTCTACGTGAAGAACAGTGCAGGCGGTTAAAGAACAACCCAGGAGTGTCTAAAACAGGGGATGCTGCACAGTCTGGAAACTGAGGGAGAGGCTTTACCAACACTACTGTCTTAAATTCACGTAGTGTGAAACATGACAGACCCTACAGTATTCACATGGACCACGGAGGAAACAGCTCAAATCTGGGCACAACAAACTACCATCGAGCTGCTACTTCAGAAACAGGATTCTATTACTCTGGGTTCCTGATAAGGGCAAGGTGCATACACCATCAATAAAACACTAGGGTTGATGCAACTCATCTTGTTCAAAACTGAAGTTAAAAAACAAAACAAATGATGACAATGTGGGGGGTTATAGAAAAAGGGAAACAAGAGAAATAGCCTGGTATCATGGAGATTCACATGAAGAGCTCTGCGTTACGGCTCTGGACTCGGCACAGGCTGATACTGTGAGTCTGCGGTCCCGTGCAGCCCCCGCTCTTCCAGAGTGGGCGCTTCCTGCAGGAAGAGAAAACGTCTCTCTCCCCTCGGTAATCCAAGCCTACCAGCAACAGTGAAACACATCTGTTCTACTTCAGGGTTTTAAAAGTCTTCCTTGAATGTTTTGAACCAAGACTTTAAATCCCCCAAACAGCAGCATCAGTCTTTTTTCATTATCTCAAACAAGGTGATAATTTGGTGATGGGGAAGGCGGGTAGTTCGATCTGGAGATGTGCTAACATACTTAGGAACTAGAACTTAGAGTTATTACAAGCAGAGGAAATCAGACATTCAATTCTTTTTACCAACAAGCTGTTACAAGCCTTTTGGTTAGTATAAGAAAACACAGAGTGACTCTTACTTCCCATGTTACTTCGGATATTTAAAGCAGGACTCGTTTGCAGAAAGCCACATGCTCACTTTGGCTCCGGAATCCTGCGGTGGTGAACAGTGAAACCTCTGAACAGAAAGTACTGACTAGCACTTAATAATCTCATGAACTTGGATAAGTCAGCTCATCAATCAAGACTCAAGGAGTTTTCTTACCAGCAAAATCAGTTGTTGTGGAACTCAAATACATGTTAAGTGGTTAGTGTGTAGACAGTCCTAAATATTTGCAGTCATAATATACCTGCTTTGATTCTTTTCCTCGAATCATGCCTCAGCTCAAATAAATAAATGAAACAGATGAACTGTGTGCATTTATTCACAACTGAACTAGAAAGATCTGCTTTTCTCAGTCCCTAGCAAATAACATATGTAAATCTTCATATATGCATACAGATACATAGATATATTTTTATAAAACTGAATATTCATGATTTTAAATCTGACATGCTGTCAGGTAAAAAAATGGACTACGGACTATATACTGAATTAGCATCTCATTTAATGCTCTACCTAAAATGTATTTTACATAAGACTATCTAAAAAAAGATAATATAAGTCACTAACACTGTAAATCCGACCACTTCATTAAGTTGAGGTGGAATGGAATAGTTTTTAATATCACATAGCTAAATAAGCATTCAAAGCATATAATTCTGGTCCAAAAAAATGGTTCAACTGGTAAATGTCAGCAGCCAAGGAAAGCAGTTCTACCACTTCCACTTAAAGCACACTGTTGCTCACTTGAACAAGCATTTCTGTTTTAATTGTAATCTGCTTTTTAAAATATTTTATTTATTTTTAGAAAGGGAAGAAATGAGGGACAAAGAGAGGGAGAGAAACATCGATGTGAGAAAGAAACAACCAACAGTTACCTCTCAGACATGCCCTGACCCAGGACCAAACCCACAATCCAGGCATGTGCCCTGACCAGGAATCAAAGGGGCAAACTTTTGCTTTACAGAATGATGCCCAACTGAGCCACAATGGTCAGGGCTGGAACAAGCATTTCCTTGAAGAGTATTTGTTGAAGCAGATCCCTTTGTTAAACAAACAAAACAAAACAAAGCCAAACAAAACAACACCACTAGCCACTCCATACCTTGCATTCAGTCAACGCTCAGAGATTTAAGGCAAGGACATCTTCTAAACCCATAGTCATGCTAAAATCATTAACATTGCTGACATAAAAATCTAGGCAAGAGGAGAAGCTCAACCAGGGAAGGTGGATGGCAGAGACATCAGTGGAAAAACCAGCAGGGAATGCAACTTTAGTGTATGGTAGCAAAACAGCTTCTCTGAAAGGACTGGAAAGAGGAAACAAAACCGTCTTTATTCATTCAACGTCTCTCTCTCACTTTTAGACCCTTCAGCTATCACACTGGATACTTCTGAGCAACAGGAACATTTTTAACTTACAAGAAGGTGTTAAAGTAACACAATGTCCATTAAAAAAACTTAAATAGTGGTTAAAATGGAAAGTGAACCATTGAACTAAATCTTTTATACTTTTTATGGCAATCTCATAGAAAACAGTACTGATTTCGAAGATTACATATTTACATATGCTGAGTTGCATGTCAACATTAGATAACATCATCTGCAACTGTGGTGTCAAAAATCTGGTAGCAAATTTGCCGCTCCGTCCCACTTGTGACATTATAGGACTTGATGAAGCATTCCAACCATGGATATGTATCTATAATCCAAAAGAAAGTGTTATTTAACCATTAAAATTAAATAAATAACTCCAGTATATCTAAGCATAATACTTAGCTAGAAAAATTAACATTTACTTTGAAGCTTGAAAAGTAAATAAATACACTTAACCAAATGTAACATGATCCAGGTTTCCAAATTACATACTGGATTCATGTCATTGCTTCACAGCAATTCTGACTAATTTGAATTTTTTCTTAACAATTAGAAACAGTAATTAAATGTGGGGTTTTCAAAATGTTGGATAGCGGAGATAGTTAAGCTATCTCATTTCCAATTTTAATTCCTTTTTCCCCCTGCTAATTGCTTACTGATCTCCCCATTTTATTTTTTTCTCTTGGTTGACTGCAAAGAAATTGATCCTGAAGTTCAAATGAGCTGAACTCCTTACATCTGTCAAGGTAAAACTACAGGGACCAAGTACTGAGTCAAAGCAAAGCTGGCAGCCACAGATGCCATTTCTAAGCTCTGCTTATGACCACAGTAAATCTATTTATAACATCTAGAGAAGTTCCTCAATGTTTCCTTTTTTCATGTTTGAGTTTAAAAGACATTTAATCTTATCTTCAGTATTAGCAAGGGTCAAGCAAGACATATACTCTCCTACACCGCTGGCAAAACTGTAAATAGGTAAAATATTCCTGAACAGCAATTTTGCCGTATGTATCAAAAGTCTACCAGGGCTGTGCTTTTTTTTCATATGACACTTTTATTTCCAGAAATCTAGCCAAAAGAACCCAAATAGCCAACAAAAATTAAAACTGACATTAAATGAAAGTATGTAAGCTAAACTTTATTACAGATGTACAAAAATCTAAAAATGTTATTAGAATTGATATGAAATGCATAGATTGACCAGGGGAAAAGAAAGCCTAATTACAAATAACCTATAAAAGTTAAAGTAACAGTTAAATATGCAGGTAGTAAAATTAGTTACCGATGAAAAGCTGTTAGAAGAGTCAAGCTATTTTAATCTAATTTAGATCCACCAGTCTCAGCATAAGGACAGACAGTGGCCATGAAGAACAATGGAGTGGCAGCAGGTGAAATCTGTACACAATCTGACCCGAAGGTCGGGGGGATGAATAAACGTTATACAGAAAACAACCAGAGCTGCTAAAAATAATCAGTACAATAAAAAATTGTAAAATCTGAAATTAGTTAATAATGAATAAAAAATTCATCAATGAACTCAGCTAGCTAAATGGAGCTTGTTATAGAAAATGTTTCTCATTAATATTTTATCCCTGTTAATTTCAAATGTTATTAAACATAGTATCAAATGTGCTTGTGGGCACAGTATCAAAACTGCCTACTCTTTATTATATTTTAAATATTTAAAAAAATATTTTCGGAAATTATTATTTATACCCATTTTATTTTTTCTACTATTTAAACCAAAGGTATATTACATAGTAATCTAACACTAACTAGTAATTTATTTGGATTCACATTTCAAAGTTTGCGTTCTCTAAAAGTCCACAGATTTTATATAAACCAGGTGCTATTTAAAAAAAATAATGAACAGGATTGACAAAATATTACTGCCTACCGATTTTTACTCCTGGAGGGCAAAACATATTCATGATCACATCCATACTTTCCTGAAGGTAATCATTAGTCAGGATTTCTGATGCTGGAATATGGAAGAATTTGTCCTTAAAAATTATAGAAGAAAATGACATTAATCTTTTATTAAAATTATAATTAATACAAAAGTAAAGGGGTGGGCAAAAGTAGCTTTACAGGTGCATGGTGACATTCTTTTGAGTTAATAAAGCTATTGTAATAAGCATAATCTGCATGTCTTTTTCAATACAAACCTCTGTAAACCTACTTTTGCCCACCTGTGTACTTAATACTATCTAATTAACATTACCTAGGCTACGTCACCCTGTATCAAGATTGCAAAATTCATAAGCCGCTAGTCTGAACTATAATATCTGATTTACTACTTTAATTTCAAAACATCATTGAGATATAAAGTCAAGTTAAACTGCTTTGACTTAGTGATAAAATAATGATCATAAAACAGTGAGGCTTACTTTTCTGGATACACATATGTTGAGTGACTATAATGTATAAGTGTCAAATTTAAGAGTATAACACAGTTTTTCCCCTCCTACTAGATTATAGGGAGAAAAGGGATTTTGCTTGCTTTGCTCACTGGTACATCCTTATCACAAAGAACGGTACCTGGCACGTAGACGGTGCTCATTAAACATTTCACACCTGGACAGTCATTGTTTGCCTGGGGACACCGGGACACACTGGGTAGTTTAACAATGTGACCTGGAGCAGGGAGTTTGCATCCTGTGGCGTTAGCCTGACCTCTGGGAGGGGCTGAAGCCTGAGATGAGTTACACGTACAGTCAACTCCGACTAAAGACAGGACTCTAGTAAAAACCCTGGACAATGAGGTGCAGTGGAGTTTCCCTGGTTGGCAGTACTTCATGTGTATGGTTACACACTGTTGCCAGGAAAGGAACATTGTCTTCTACTCTACAAAAGAGAATAAATGAAAGTTCCACACTTGAAACTTTCCTGGACTCTGCCCTCTGCACATCTTCCCTTGGATGATTTGAATCTGTATTCTTTAGCTGTAATAAAATGTAATGGTGAGTATAATGACTTTCAGTAAGTTCTGTGAGTCTTTCTAGTGAATTATCAAAACTAAGGGTAGCCTTGGGGACCTCTGAACTTGCAACTGGTACCTGAGTAAGGACGGTCTTGGGAATCCCCAAACCTGGGATTGTATCAGAAATAAGGGTGACCTTGTGGAAAGCTCCCTTGCTTTCCACCCTATCACCCCATCAAAGTAACTTTGTTCCCTCTCATATGAGGGAACACATAATATGAGAAGGTCTACCAAGCCTGGTGAAATGCTGACAGATCATGGGTAGAGCGTGTGGCCATACCTCTCTGCCTTTAGCTCCTGGAACAGAATTTCTGTGTGGTATTAAAAATGACTCTCCTGAAATTCCTATTCCTCGATATTTCATTATTCGGATATTGAGATTTATAGTGTAATATCAAAAGACACATCAATGCACAGACAATTTAATATCTACACACTCTTATTTTTCTAAGTTGCCTTAAACCTTCTTAGTAATAAAGTAGGTAGGAATATATTAACATTCAAAAATTTATTTTTAGTTAGAAACATTTCCACTACCTGTGTTACTTACAGAATCCATGAGATAAGCTTCCAGCACTCCTGTCCCATCATCAAGAGTAAATGTCATCACGAACACATGTTGGAGGGGTGCAACACCCAACACTGGGTTAGAAAAAAGATGAAACTGTATGAGTCTTCTCCTCCTTGTAATCAAAGTAGAATGAAATTGTTTTTAGATAGTATGTACCTGTTCATTGTTAATTTTGTTCATTAAAATAATTTAAGAGAGAAAAACTTAAACATAAGCTTTTTGGTTCCCTAATACTAACATTAAGCTCATTTTAGCAGGTTCATTTGGAACATTACACTACCTGCACCGCGGCAATGACTCATAAATAACTGTATCTTTCTTGATTAACTGTTAATATATCTTTAATGAGTACCACACAAACAGGTCACTGCATTTAGAATGGGACAGGGAGACCAAGCTGGAGAGCAAAAGCTCATGTGAAAGGCACCTGGAATTTTATTGGAGCACAAACAAAATAGGAGACAGCAGTATCATATAGCTGAATTAAAAGAAAAGGAAAGCAAAACCAAGTATACAGATTAGTATCAACAGGTTCCTGGAACTGCAGTGAAACAACATGTAATGAAACCAATCTGACCAGACATTAATTAACAGAAACAAGAGTTAAATTCAGTGTTATGATAAAATGACACTGAACAGAATGAAACGGCATTATTCAAGAACCTGCTGTACAATGAAATTTTCAGGCCAGTGGAAGCAGAGTGTCCACTTTTAGGGAAATGAAAGTTTTGTTCATATTCTGAGTTGGCCACTATTTGCAGCCCTGCTTCCAGATTTAATGGCAAACTCATGGGAAAGCACTGGCAATGTGAAATGTTTACTATGGAGGAGAAGTGGAATGCGTGTAAGGAATGTGGGAAAGTACCAACGGACGTGAGATGCCTGCTTGGAGAAATAGAGACGAAATGCCGGGTCAACAGCTATCCTCAAAAGTATGAATCTGCTGATCACACAGAAGAGGGAGCAGATACACTCTAATTCTAGTAAATAGAATGTGGCCCAGGGTAAAATTGATAGGCATATTTTGTCTATTAAAAACTTCCTAAAAATTAAGGGAATTTGTTGTTGCAACATAATGAGTACCCTGTCACTGAATGAGTTTAAGCCAAGGCTAGGTGAACACAGTTAAGATTGTGATATAAAAAGATTCTTGTTCCAGCTAAAAAACTTGTATTGGGTAAAAAGTTGTAATAGCTATTTCTAGAACTGTGAAATCCCACAGTACTATGAACTGGAGGGATTTTTCAGAAGCTAATTAATATTGAAATAAATTACTGAACATTAAAATATCAGTAAAGATTAAAAGTTACTGGCAAGTGCTTGAAAGTTTCCAAATATTTTAAACATTTACTTTATAGTTTTACTGCAGTGACTGTGAATGGTTTTGCATAAGGAAAATTAAAGTTTCCTCTGGTTTTACTAAAGGCACAAAATTTGAAATATAATCAGTGAAACCACCTTACACAAAGACAGTTAAGATTGCAGGACACAGACATTCAGCTAACCTTCTGCCACAGAAGAAGGAATCCATGACGTTTTATCCACCAGGTTATTTAGATTTTGTATTGGTCTCAAGGTAGAACACTTTCTACATCTGAAGTTAGTAAAACCAAATAGAATATTAAGACAAAGTAATTTATTATAACTCATTTAACATTAAAACTTATTTTTGCTGTTCAAGTATGCACGGTTTAAAAAGTAAATTAAACAAAATAGTACATTACCTCTTATACTGTAATGTGCACATTACTAACAGAATTATTTTAAAAAGAAGTTTTTTATAATAGAAGCAATTAAAACAAGTATAGTTCAGGATAAACACCATTAAATTGGGAGTAAGAGAGAGGTTTCAGGTCCAGATTATTAATTTATTTGGCTGACTTCCTTATTTGGTAAATGAAAAAAGTTTAAACAGACAATCTCTAAGAACTTTCATTTATGGGTCTGTGAACAATAACTAATAGCCAAGGTCTTAATTCGATACAGCCAGTATGAGGAAATTTTTCTGACTAAAGAAGGTAGTACTAGCAATATTTGGGGTAATATATTCAGTGAGCACGTATTTACAGGTTTATAGTGTATGATTCCTGATACTATAGTTACTCTTCATAATATAAACCAATTTCAAACTATACAATACACTAACATTGTACATCATTTACTACAGCTATTTTGGTTTAATTATATACAAAAATATTTTAAGCAAATTTTTAATACATAACATCATAATGTTTAAGAAAGAATAAAAATATATACTTAAATAACTATATAAAATCAATATTCAAGAGGTTCATGCAGATTCCTTTTCATTTGCATTCCGGGGAAAAATAGAGGGTAACTATAACAAATGGTATCCTTTCCCATCCTTCAAACACATCTAAATTTTTTAACAGAAAACTGTAATTAAAGGAAGTTATTATTGCCTTTAGACATTGATGAAGCGAGTATGCCAACTAAAAATTAATATACAAATTAAAAATTAAGGGTAACAAATGAAAATTAAAGAGATTTCATAACTTCTAAAGTAGTAAAAGAGGCAAAGGAGAAAGTTAAGAGTATTTGTTACATAATTTTATGTTGATTGTATTTTTTCCATTACCAAGAACATTTCTTTATAAATCAATTCCATAGCAGACTGAAGAAAAAAAGTATACAAAATAGTAACAAGATATAAAAGAATAGTAGAAGTGCCCTGGCTAGTGCAGGTCAGTGGATTGAGCACGGGCTATGAAGCAAAGAGTCGCTGGTTTGATTCCCAGTCAGGGCACGTCCCTGGGTTGCAGGCCAGGTCCCCAGTAGGGGACACATGAGAGGCAACCACACACTGATGTTTCTCTCCCACTCTTTCTCCTTCCCTTCCTCTCTCTCTAAAAATAAATAAAATATTTTAAAAAAGAATAGTAGAAGTGGAAAACAACACAAAATGTAGAAATAAAACCTAGTTATGTCAGAAATTAATATGCTTTAAACTCATCTATTTAAAAACCACTAAAATCTAGGCATAAGTATTTATGCATGAGACGTACTAAAATAAAACAGCAAAGGAACATGAAAACAAAGGGATGAGGATGAGAATAGAATAGGATACTACTCTTTTGGTTCGTAAATAATTATGAACGAAAAAAAAAAACCAACCCCCCCATACAATAATTAAAAATTAAAAAAAAAACCTTAGGGCAAAAAAACATGATTACAGATAGAGTGATACAAAAGAATATACCAAACAACAAATTCACCAGGCGATGAAATGCTGAGCCTACACAAACCAGCCGAGAGCCTCCAAACATATAAAGCTCACACTGACCGAAGAAAAGGTCACAAATTCACAATCACAGAGGACGTTAAGCACACTCTCTATGAAGTGAATAAACAGTTAAAGTTACAAAGGAAAATGAAAGTTTTGAACATGATTTACAAGCCTGGCTAATGAACATAACTAAATGCTAAACACTACTATTAAAGAATATATATTCTTTAAAAATTTATGAAACTTAATCAAAATACGAACAAACATATTTTAGGCTAAAGCAGCTCATAGTGTAACCACTATGAAATGATTCGCAGTATTTGGTTAAAAAGTCATCTAACCAAAATGCAAACAGAAACATAGCAACTGAAATGTATGTGTAAAAATTTTAAAATAATTCGTGGGCCAAAGATACCATAATGGAAATTATGAAACATTTAGCAGTGACAAGAAAACATTAAATATCAGTCTTGGGTTAAAGGCATGGCTAATTTTTGAAAGGAAAATTATAGACTTATATATAAATATTAAAAATATATAAAATTAATGAATTAAGGTAAGCATTCAATTAAAAACATTTGAAAAAGGAAATCCGAGGAAACCCAATGAAAGTAAAGGAAGAAAATAAAAACAGGAACAATGAAAAACGATAGAGAGCAACAACAAGAACAAAAGTCTGTTCAAGCGGAAGGAAAGGAGCTTCACCCCCACTGCCTCCTTCCGAGCATAAAACCCAGTTCCTACAACCCAGTATATTCCCGTATGTTCCAATTACTCAGTGGCAACTAATCTGTAACCCTGTGCCACAGAAATCCTGGAAATCGGTCACTTTTACTGGGATGCAGCTTTGAACCTTTCTCTGTAATTAACAGCTAAATCCTCAGGAAAGAAAACAAATTATAATTAGTTTTGCAGTTAACCTTGTATCTAGCACACTGTATGTACTCAAAATAATGCTGTCAAAACAATAGATATATTTATTTAAACACAAATAATTAACAGTAAAGATATAAATAAAATAAGTAAATCTAGCACATATAAAACTGGGGCTTGACAAGTACCCACTGACAATACAGTAACAAGTGGGATAAGAACAACTGCAGTAAAAATTAGTCGTAGAGAATGTTGAATCCCAAGGGCCCAGAACTGACAACGCACCCGTAGTGATGCACTGTGTCTTGTATGAGGAACGGTGCTGACAGGCCGCAGAGCTCCAGGTCTTCCTGGCCCGACCGCACGGGAATCACACTGTGGAACTTGCTGGCGAGCTTGTGGATCTCACCGAGTGTGCCTCCTATTAGACCGGAACAAATCACCCTCCTGGTCAGTACAGACACGACGCAGGCAAAATGAAGTGCCTATCAAGTAATACGTGAGGAACAGTAAAAGACTAAAGAAACTGGCAGAAAAAACAATGCCATGAATTTAGAGATTTAATATGTTTATACACTTATTGTGAAAATGCAATTTGTAAATTCAGGATCCTATATATTGATAAAAGAAACCACTACCTGAAAATGCTCAGCCTTGAGCTAATTATGAGGCTTGTGAAATTGTAAACATCTTCTTAAATTTATACAAGATGCTCTTTATGTCAGTAACACCACAGTTCAAATAATCAAAAGAATAGAATTGTGAGCCAAAGTATGACAGGATTCTCATTAAATTTGCTATATACTACTAATGTCTAGACAAGTTTAGTCCTCAGTTTGACATAAATCTTTTAAACTTTCAGGTCAGCATTAAAGTTAAATACATATACAAACAGTTCATGTAGTATGAATTCGTGTAAAGTGTTTGTTCATTTTTCTGGGGAAAACCACCCCAATCACCCCAATTCTGTGACAGGATGGCCATGAAGACAGTGTGCCCAATGGTGCACTGTTAATTCACGGCAGCATTATCTAGGACAACTCAAACCTACTGGTGCCTTTTCTGCTGTGCTTTTTATTTATACTGATAATTCTTCCTCTCTAGGGAACGTGAATATGGTTTATAAAAGCACTTTGGTGTATTTCTTAAAATTTGTATTCAATTTGTAAAATTAAAATTGTACTGTGAGGCGGATGCACAGCAAGACCAAAGACATCCAAAAATACACTTTTTCAGAAAGGCAAAAGTAAAATTGGTCAAATTCAATTTTTTCACAACTCTAGAATTAACCAAAGGCTCCCAACAATCCAAAGATAAAATTTTTTTTAAGTGAATGAATCCATTTTGGTAAGAACAGTGGCTCTGTGGTGTTTTAACTTGGTTTCCCTCCCTCTTTCTGCAGCCCCGGGACAACAGGAAATCACAGTTCCGCCACACCACACTGCAGTTCGATCACACCCTTGGGTTTGTTAGCACTCAGAAACATAATAAAACAAAATATTATGTTTTGATGTAACCCTTTTAAAATTTTAACGTGATTTCACATACACTTCCATTAAAAATCTCTAGATGAAATATTATGTTGGGTGTACTTAATTATTCAAAAAATATTTATTGAGGGCCAGTCATATACCAGGTATACCACGCCAGGTGCTGAAGATGCGTACATTAAAATAAGTATGTATCCTGTCCTTAGAAGCTTACATTCTAATAAGAAAACAATTCTATAAACTGACAGATAAAACAAAAATGTAATACCAGAAGTGCTCTATGGAAGTTCATACAGTATGTAGTCTTAAGGACCAGTCAAATCTGCCTGCTGAGTAAGAAAAAGTGCTTCTTACGTACAGGTGTTCATTAAATATTACATGTGAATTGCTAAAGAAATTATTGAGTTTACTTCTGAAGATGTACTAGAGCAGAAATTCTCAAGAGAATAACACTGAAATGGCCAAAAGTCACTAAGAAATAAGCAGGGTTCAGGAACTGCCACCAGTTCAGTAAGGCTGGTGGGTGGGATGTTGATTGTAGGAGACGGGACTTAACGTTTTGGGGATGAGTGGTCATTAAACAGTGTCAGGAGCTAAACAGACTCTTTAATTCAAGCTTCTCTGCACCCTCAAGGCCAAGCTGGCTTCAGCACGGAGTTCTGTGGGAGGCAGGACAACACAGGAGGTCCCTAAGGCACATGTGACATCCTCCTAGTTGGCCCTACAAGGACGCTCTTAAAACCTCACAGGACCACAGCTTTGTTTTATTTTTATAGCCTACAAATACTGTTACTCCATTTTTTTTGTTGTTGTTCATTCATTTTTAGAGGGGGGAAGGGAAAGAGAAAGAGACAGAGAGAAACACAAGGGAGAAAAATGATGTGTGGCTGCTTTTTGAGCGCCATCTACTGGGGACCCGGCCAGTAACTCATGCATGTTTCCTGACTGGGAATGGAACCAGTGACCCTTTGGTTCACAGGCCCGCACTCAATCCATTGAGCCACACCAGCCAGGACTCTAACTCCATTTTTTTTGTATGCCTGTATGTGTCTGTGTGTTTTTGTTTTTAAATCTAGGTCCTTGTAGATTAAAATATTGCTAAGGAAATAAGACGACACATTTTACTCATTAGAGTGGCCACATTTTTTAAAGTGCTATTATATGATGACAAGGATAGGGGAACAGATAATGGCATATGCTGCCAAAGTATATGTAGACTAGGAGAACTTTACTAAAAAAGGAATTGGGCAACATTTATTTAATTTCTTGTGTTCCCACAATTACACTTCATCCAAAGGGGAGATATGTTCATCACAGGGTTATAATTCAATTCCACTACTTAACATCTATATTGAGAAAGACATGGGGAAAAAAATCTGTGGTACAATACATATATTATATAAAAATAAAATGAAAGTAGAAAAACAATACAAAAATAAATGACTCAAAATTTTATTTTTAGAAAACGTCAAATTATCTTATTTCAAGGGTTCCTTCCTTGATTTAGCTATCAATAGATGATATCTAGCCCTGGCAGGGTTGCTCAGTTGGTTGGAACGTAGTCCCATATACCAAAAGGTTGTGGGTTCTATTCCCAGTCAGGACACATACCAACTGCTGGCTCTATCCTCGGTCGGGTCACTCCTGGAGGCGACCAACTAGTGTTTCCCTCTCACATCAATGCTGTCTGTCTGCCTCTCCCTTCCCCTCTCTCTAAAATCAATAAACATATTCTTTGGTGAGGATTGAAAAAATAAATGATGTCTATTTCCTTCTACTTTTATGGAAAAACAGTGACATCCAGTGGCCAGGATAACAACAACTGCACATCACAAGCGGTCTTAAATTATTCCTCAGCTTGATAAGCAGCGTGGATCTGATTAAGATTACGTGCAAAAAGCCAAGAAAATGAACAAATGCAAACTACTTAATGTACAATTTCAAAATGTCATTGAGATAAATCTATATATGTGTATGTATATATTTGATTCTAGTTGTTACAGATAATATATTTCATGTTACGAAATTTAACAATATTTTGCCTTTACACGTCTGAGGTGGCCCTTAAAATATATTTAACGATAGTCAGAAAAAGACATAAGCAAAGATGTAATCTAATAAAAGAGTAACTTAAATACCTTACCTTCTATCAAAATTAGACAGTCGTTTGAAAGTGGGAGAATACCATTGTTTTTCACAAAATGAATAGCTACTTTTCGTTCTCCCTGATCTTTAGTTGTCCACACTTTTGAATCATATAATGATGTATTTTGTAGTTTCGTATCTGGAGTTTTAGTTGCACTCTCTTGAAAAATTCGATCCAAATCACCTTCACGTGGAACTTCCTGCCTAAAACCATCAATGAAATAACACAAAACCTTGGAAATCCAATTTTACAAACTACAATTAAAAAACTGTTTATGAGCCAGCTGATGAGCCAGCTACTTAAAGACACTTATTCAACAGAAAGATATTTGTATTTCACGACTGCTCCCTCTCAATAATTACATTAACCCTCAGCAACTTCCTTGCTGGGTTCGGGGACGTCGAGGGCACTGGCTTTCTAGCACCTACTGGCCCTCTTCTGTCAGGAGGGCTAAACTCCCGGCAGAACAAGAAAATGCGGCGGCCCTCCCTGACTCCGCTGCAGTGAAGAGCAGCAACTCACCACCTAAGTCATTTCAGGTCTGGAGCATTTGTGTTACAAACCAGTATTTGTTTCGGTTCCTTTTACAAAGCCACACGTAAAGCACGATGGAGTAGAAGCGGTGTGATCTGGATGGTCTGTGAAACTTTAGGCAACACTCTTAACCTTTCTGAGGCAATTTCCTTATTTGTTTAAAAAATGATTATAGAGGGTTTTGTTTCACAGTTATGTGGTTTTATAGCATCTAACAAAACTATGATTTAATACTACCTCAAAAATTACCTAAAATCTCTATTTTTCACTCCAACTACCACTGTGAATTAAAATAAGTAGAAGAGAGTCAGCCCCTCCTTTTATTTATGGAGGTTTCGGGATTAAAAATCTCCACAAACAGTAGTATACTTATAGTTTAGAGGGGCACACATGTATATTAGCATACACAGAAACATGCACACAAATATAACGGAGATGTGTATGTACTGGAGTGGACAAAAGTAGGTTTACAGTTGTGAGTATACACGTTTATTCTTGTATTATTATTAATTGGTATATTATGTTTGTACTACAACTGTAAACCTACTTTTGCCCATGTCTGTTTTTATACACTATGCTTTTTATACACTATGCTTAGAGGAAAGACTGTCGAGCTAATGAGCACGCATTCATTCTAATGTCTTATAAATTTATACATTTATATGTTAGTTGATATTTAGAATAAAGACTTTGTGGTTCTGAGAAATTTTCAGTTACTAACAAAAATTTAAATTACATTTACTATACTGCAGTTACTATGCAGGACAGAAATACTCATTATTTCCAACAAGGCTTTCTTCTGGTTTTTTCAGGACATGATTTTTATTATATAACTTCTTTTAGAAAGTTAGTAAGTTTCCATTTCTTGTTTTATTTTCTTCCATCACCGTTTATCCCCTCTACACACTCTTCTACCTCCTCTCACCCCGCTTCCTGCCCCCAATCAGCACGCTGTTTCCCAACAAGGCTTTCTGTATCACTTAATTAAAAATTTCAACTAACCAGATGTCTTTTCTAATTTAAGAATTTTAGTTATTTTGGCTATTCAGGGTCTGTCTTTTTTGGTTCTACACAAATCTGATGATTTTTTGCTCTATTTCATCTTAAAAATGTCATTGACAAATACTGTATGAGCTCACCTATAAGTGGAACCTAATCAACAAAACAAACAAACGAGCACAATAGAACCAGAGATGTGGATACAAAGAACAAACTGAGAGTGACCGGAGGGGAGGGGGATGGGGGATAATGGGAAAAAGGGGGAAGGGGCCAGCAAAGGAACACAGAACAGAGGGCTCAAGGGCATGGACAATGGGGGGACTGATGTAGGAGTGGGGGGGATGGGGCAGGGGAGAGCAATGGGGGAAAAAGGTGGGACAATTGTAACTGAACAATAAATTTTAAAAAAGAAAAAATGTCATTGGGATTTTGATGGGGATTACATTAGATCTGTATATTGTTTTGGGTAAAACGGACATTTTAACTATACTGACTCTTCTAATCCATGACTGTGGACTATCTTTCCAATTCACTGAGTCTTTTTCAATCTCTTTTAATAATGCTCTGTAGTTGTCAGTATATAGGTCCTTCACATCCTTCGTTAAGTTTATTCCTTGGTATTTCATTCTTTTCTTGTTGCAATTGCAAAAGGAACTGTTTTTTCCATTTCTTTTTCTGAAATTTCACTGTATTAACATACAGGAATGCACTAGATTTTTACACACTGATTTTTGTATGCTGCAACTTTCCTGTATTTGTTTATTGTTTCTACAGTTTTTTCATGGAGTCTTTAGGATGTTTTTATATGAAAAAAAATCATGAAAACGATATAATCTTATTAACCAATGCAACCCCAATAAATTTAATTTAAAGAAAGGATTTTAGTTATTAATAGTTTGCTTTTCAGTTAAGAATGTTTTTGTAAATTGTGCTGTTATGAACATTGTGGTGCATAGGTTCTTTGAGATTGGTGGTTTAGGGTTCTTAGGATATAATCCTAGCAGTGGAATTGCTGGGTCAAAAGGCAGGTCCATTTTTAGTTTTCTGAGAAAATTCCATACTGTTTTCCATAATGGTTGTACCAATCTACAATCCCACCAACAGTGAACTAGGGTCCCATTTTCCCTACAACCTCTCCAACACTTGTTGATTGTTGCTTTGTTTATGATGGCCACCTTGACCGGTGTAAAGCGATATCTCATTGTGGTTTTAATTTGCATCTCTCTGATGGCTAGGGATATTGAGTATCATTTCATGTGTCTCTGGATCTTCTGTATGTCCTCCTTGGAGAAGTGTTTGTTCAAGTCCTTTTCCCATTTTTTAATTGGGTTAGTTGTCTTCTTAAGAGTGCAGTCGTGTGAGTTCTTTGTGTATTTTGGAGATTAAACCTACATATACACAATGGAATTCTATGCAGCAAAGAGAAAGAAGAAGCTCCTACCCTTTGCAACAGCATGGATGGAATTGGAAAGCATTATGCTGAGTGAAATAAGCCAAGTGTTGAAAGACAAATACCATATGATCTCACCTTTAACAGGAAGCTAAACAACAAAACAAGCTAAGCAAGCAAAATAAAAACAAAGACACTGAAATAGAAAATGGATACAGCGACTAGAGGGGAGAGGGGAGGGAATTTAAGGGGAGAAAGGGGAGGGATTTAGAGGAACAAGTGTAAGGACACAGGGACAGTAACTAAGGGGGGTGGAAATGGGAGGGAGGTGGGGAGCACGGGGCAGGGTGGGCTGGGATGGGAGAAATAAAAAGAAAACCATACTTGAAAAACAATTAAACATAAAAAAAGGAAAAAAGAAAACTACTTGAAAAACTAAAACTAAAAAAATTTTAAAAAAAGAATGTTTTTGCGACAAACGTGCACATCTTCCCAAATAGTTTCATAGTTTACTGTTTGCATTTACCAGAGCTACTAAACAAAATTACATATTTAAAAACAGACCCTACTTTTATTTACTATAACTAAGAAGTATCAGAAAATTTTACTTTCTAAGAATTTAATATTTTCTCTTAAAAATGTTACCATTCTATCAAAATATACCATACTGTTTGGACTAAAAGATTCACCCCCATTCCTCCCAAATTGGGGGGTGCGTCTTATAGTCCAAAAATGTGGGTAACACATAAAATCACAATCTTTCCATTGCTAGGACTTAAACTTCTACATATAAAACATATATACAAAAATATTATGAAGTGAAACTTATTTTACTACAGAAAATACTTACAGTGAATGACATTTAGGACAATGAAGTTTAACAGACTGGAAGAGTCTTCTGGGCTTATATGACCTTAGTTTTGCTCGGATGCGATACTGATGAGGAGCGTTTTGCTTCAATATAGCACATATTGGGGTGTTCTCCAAATACTGATGGTCTGTAAGTACTACAAAAAATTTTAAGGTATGATAATCTACAAGAAGAATAAGTACTTTCATCCCTTGAAAATTTATACAATAGTCCAATCAAGTTGTATTACCAACCTTGTTAATATTTTGTCACATTTATTGTTTCCATCTGTCTTTATCTTTGCCTCTCTCCACATTTATATAAACCTTACAGATACATAATTCATTTATGTGTGAATGTATGTGTATATACATATGTATGTATATATCTATATATATGAATCATCTGGGAATTATTTCCAGACATCATGCCCCTTTATCACTAAATATTTTAGTGTGTACGTCATATAAACAAGAAATTTCAGTGACATAATATGGTGTAATTCTCAACATCAGAATGTTTAATATTGATGTAATATTATCACTGAATCAACAGACTTTAATCAAATTTCTCCAACTGTTCTCATAATGTTCTTATTCGCCATTTTATTTCCAGGTCAAGGACCCCATCCTGAACCCTGTGTTTCACGTGCTTTTCCTGTCTCTTCGGACTTCTTTAATGTAGAGAATGGTTCCTCAGCTTTTCTTTGGTCTTCATGATACCGATGTGTTTGAGAGGCCATTTACTTGAGTGTTCTTGGCTTTGCTCATGAAAAGATACAAATTATGTATTTTTGGCAGGAACAGTATATAAATAATACCGTGGTCTTCTCAGTGCATCCCAGCACCAGGCGTATGCTTTCAGTGCTTTCATTCCTGGGGTGTCACCTTTGCTCAGCTGGTTAACATGGTGTTTCATAAATTTCTCCACTATCAATTTACTTTCCCCCCTTTTCAACTAAGAGAATAACTGGGAAAATATAAATATCCCAATCTTGTTAAACAGTAAAGATCCTGCTAGTTTAGGGCACACTGGCGATTCACAACTAAATAAATGATCACTATTGTGGTTGCAAAATGGTGTTTTTTCCCCTAAGTTCATCACTGTTTTTACATTTATTAGTTGCCATTTTATTGTAATAAGAGCTTTCCACTCAACTTCATTTTCATTTGTTTTGTTCTTTTACTTACTATCCATACAAAATGATGTATTGCTATATTAGTCCATATCTTAGTTCTATCCCATCACTAGTATTTTTCATTTTGATGCTTAGTTTGCAAAAGATTTGACAAGTTCCATTGTTAACTGAGGATTTCTTTTCTCTCTGGCACAAGATACTCCAGAACCGTAGTCTTCTATTTTTACTAGGAACCTGGATTCATTTTAAGGGCAAATATTATTTATAAACCAAGATCTATGTACAGAGTGTGTTCACTGCCGGGGGGTAGCATTGTTTCTACAGCCTTTTGTTGATAGAGCTAGGACACATATGCACACATGTTCACACCTATACTAACAGATATCACACCTATTCTTACAGACATACAGATACATGTATGTATATGTATGTGAGTGATACATATATACAAATACACATCTGTACCTATTTCTGCATCTATCCATAAAACCATGAATTCATACTGACACCTCCAATTTCAATATAATACCACCAGTTTCTTTCTTCTGGCCTTCCCCTATTTCATAGTTATACATCCTTTCTCCAATAATGAGAAAAATATTTTATAATAGTATATTATAGAACATTAAGAGACTTGTGCTTAAAATTTGTTTTTAATTTTTAAACCTCAGCTGAATTAACATAAAGAGGATGTGTGGTAAATTAATATCATTATTAACATTAAGTTACAGTTCTGGGGCATATTGTAAGGAGCTATTTTATGGATGCTCCTAAATGCATAATGTGAAATGATTAAAATTAATGTCCTATTAAGATGTTTCATATTCTCCAACTACAAATAAGTCCCACTGCAGTGTTAAATAATGTATGTTTTATAAACCTTACAGCTATGTAATGTAAAAGCATGTATCTTTCTGGGTTCCATTTTATGAGTGAGAATGAGGTAAGGAATAAAAGATAAATACTGATACGTGAGTATTTTTGTGCTCATGGACGGGTATCTGCTCTCAGTATTTCATGGAAGTGGATCTGCTGACCTGTGTAGGAGCGGGCTTTACAAGCTCACTACTAGGCCCCTATTTCAGAAAGAAAGCACGGTCTTACTTGTGGCCGACAGCTGTTGACATCGTTCTATCTCATACAACGACACTGATCCGGAGCCTATAGGAGGTAGAAGGTAAAGGGAATTATACAGTTTTAAACCTATTAAAATTCAATGTGGTGCTGAAAACTATAAACCATTGCTGATAGAAACTGGAAATGATCTAAACGAGTAGTAAAATATGGCAGGTTAAGGGATGGGAAGGTTCAATACTGTTCTAGTTAGTTAATGGTGCTCATTCTGAAATTTTTAGGAGGTATACTTATGTCTGTAACTTACCTGAAATGAATAGAAAAGGTACAATAGGCTGGTAGCTTAAGAGAAATAGCAGAGCATACAGAGTAAAAGGCTGTGAGCATTCACTGTACAACTGTTTCAACATTTCTGTATGTTTGAAAATTTTGTACCATTTTGGAAAAGCAAAATGTGAGGGAAATAAATGAGAGAGATAGATAGAATAATAAACTTACTAAATGTAATAGAATGCATTGATGACCACCATAATATAGAAATTTTACTTTAACAAGCATGCAAAAGTAGTGAATAGGGCAGTAAGTCTTAATAATGCTTTCTAAAATGAAGAATTTAAGACTTTAAAAAGTACCCACGTTGTAACTACTTTACATCCTATTATACAGACACATAATAGTATATTACGTTTGTATCAGTTATGGGGCGTCGTATACAAACACTTGCACTATGTGTCCTCTTCAACACAACCGATACAGTAAGAATCCGTGGCAAGAGCACATGGTGGACGTGTGAAGCTGGCAAAGAATAATTTCAATGACTCTGATTATCTAATATCTGCCCTTCTGCATGAAGTGAAAACAGGGGTAAAAACTTTAAAATTAGTCAAATAATGAGGAAATATGTGTAAAATATATGCATGGGCTCCCATAAACTGATAAACAAAAAAGATAAAGAATGTGACAGAAAATCAAGAGCTGACACTCCTTTTTACTAAAAGAAGTAAAAAGAGCTGATAAATACATGATAAAAATGTTAAGTTCCCAAGTTCATGGGGGAAATTAAGTATCCCTTTACACCTGCCAATCTCTTAAGAATCACATACACTGTCACCCTGCACTGTGCTGTCAGGGAAGGACATTCTCCCACAGTGTTATTTGCGTATGAATCCTATGACATTTTGGCCTATGATTTGGCAAGTTTATAAAAATAAAAATGTGCTTACCCTTTTATCCACCAACCTCATTTTTAGGAGTTTATTTCAGAGAAATAAAAGCATGAAAGTACAACTGCCCAAGGATGTTTAGTAAAGCACTAATTGTAAGAACAAAACACCGGAAATAATCACAATGTCTACCAAGTAGAAAATGGCTGAATTAATAACATTAGATATTTATTATAAAATATGCAAATATTAAAAGAGTAAGTTTGAGTTACATAAAGATACCAGAAAGAGGTATATGATAATGCAACTGGTATAGGAGGGTCCCATTTTTGTAAAAATTTTAACAGAGGGAAAAGGCCTATCTGTTCATGTACTAGTATATATATTGTATACGCATGAAGGCTTTGAAGGAATCACAGTACACTATTAACGTTAATTCAGGAAGTGGGCCTAAGGCACGGGAAAACTACGTAACTTGATATTATGACTTGTAATATAAAATTAATTTTAAAGTCCTTTTAAAAGGAGGAAAGAGAGTTCAGAGTGCAATTACTAATTATCCTATCTCCGAATGATTGTCAACTGAGCTAAACTGGCCCCTAATAGTTGTTTAAATAATCACAGCTCAGGCTAGTATGCCATCATCAAGGGGCTAGGAAATGTGGAGTTTTGACAGAAAGAAAGAAAAAATAAATTAAAAATATATGCAAAAAAAATTCAAATAGCCTGTACTGGAATCTGACTGGCTTTGCCCTCAGTTCAAAGCTAAGTAAGTGACCCAGGGCCAATTACATGACACCCAACCCTGCTTCATCAAAGCCTCAGTTTTGTTTCTATAAAAAGAAGAAAACAGTATCAGGAGTGCTGTTAGGATTAAATAATAATGCATGTAGGCACTTACTGAGGGTCTACCAAGCCATACACGTTCATTTTAGTGCTTATCCTTACTGGTATAGAAAGACAGTAAACACCTACACAATGACTCTGGATCATAGTGGAGAAGTTAGACTGTAAAATACTATATATATACAAGATAAAAACACAACATAGATTCTGGTCCTCAGAATGTACAAAGAGCTATTAAGACAAAGTGGTAAAAGAAAAAATATCTTACCAATTGAGAGTTTTAAAATTTAGAACTTTGAACAGTCACCTATTCAGGTGGATAACAATAATGCATAACCAAATGTTTATTAATATCTTGTAACTAGATATTTGATTAACTCAATGAAGTCTGGAAATTACATATACATCTAAGATATATGATGAAAAATTCTTAGGCTGTTTGAAATAAAGCAGCAAAAACAACCTTTGCTCCTTTTAGATACTACCATGGGAAAAAAACAAAAAAAACCCAGTTGCCTAAGGAATTAATACAGATTTTAAATTAATGAATAAATACACTTATATACATAAACATATATGCAAAAAATACTACACATATCACAAATCGAGTAATCCCTACTACCCTTATTTGAACAAAAAAGAAAATCTAATTATACAATTAAGGAAGGAACAATGTTTACCTTTTTGCACAGGCACAGATAAAGATTTAGTATGTTCCTTTACAATGAATACAAGTTTAAGAAAAAACAAGAGGCAGAGATAGGAAGATAGTAAAATGAAAAATTAGTGTTGATAAAGACATTTTACTTGGCAGATATTAAACTGTCAATGTTACTTACTTGTTGGAACGCTGTCCTCACATTCTGATTGACATATACCATCTGAACACTGATTGGCTGTCAAACCTGCACATTCTAAAACCCTATAATTGAAAGAATATAAGTTCAAATTGCATAAAACAAAGTCAATATGGTCAGTTCAGCTTCATGCATAGAAACCAAAACTCACTAATATTGTATAAAATTCTGTTTGTGTGTATGCATTCCTCAGTAAAAGGTCTATATACCTGGAGTTCTAAGGGCCCCCCAAATTTTAAAAAAACTGAGTCTAGAAAGATACAAGTGTAACAGTGGGATGACGAAATACGGTGGACAAAAATAAGTTAGTAATTTAAAGGATAACATTCTCCTGACAACCTCACTCTAGATTCAAGAAATGTTATGCTTCTATATATTACAATATGAGGTAGTGAAACTGATGTGAGATTATTAAAATAGACTGTTAAAACAGCTAGTTTAATTGGCTTTAAAGTCTTTGGTTTCAATATATTAAAATTTAGAAAATACCTATGTCATCCCAATATACTGAAAGGGATATTTTCTGTATTCTTTTTTACAAAATTTCTGTATTTCTTTGAAGACAGGCAGAAGATGTATTTTTCTTGCTCTAGAATACCGATCAAAAAGTCTCTGTAAAACAGAGACACTAGAAATACATAAGGAAAAAGAATTGCGTGTCTAGTAAGATTTAAGGTAATATTTACTCTCTGGAAACATATAAAAGTTTTAAATATGATACCCTAAAACACTTCGGCTACCTATTTTATCAGCAATGTGCACTTTAGAAAGGTCAGTGTTATTTTTCATGGCAGGATCACATGTGTTTGGAATGCTGGGTATGGACCGAGTTTTCCAAGCTTCAGCTAAGCTCCAGTTTCTCCTCTTTGTTGCTGTTCGTGGAGAACGTGGCAAATGGTAGAACAGTTCTGAGTATGTAAGTGGAAACCTTAGACTGTATCCCTGGCTCTGCTACTATTTAGCTGTTTGAACCTACAAGCCCTTGATTTCTGTTTCATTTGGTTGATCTCACTAAAAACAAAATGAATAATGCCAAAGAAAGCTGTGAGGATCAATTACAAGGAACCTATTACACCCCCCTTGCGACCCCAGAACAATCTCTTAACTTGAAAATCGGTTTAATACTTTATTTACATTTTTAAATAGGTATATAATAAGCTTACTTTTTCAGTTGGTCCACATCAGAGTTGCTTTCCAGCAAGACTCTGATCCCCCGACCGTAACTGGTGCCTCCGTGGAGATGAAACTCCAGAGCTAACGATGTTGACTGGTTTGCTGAATTCACCGACTGGAGTTTCGTATGGAGGCTATAAATTCTAAGGAAGCTTCCAACCTAAAAAGAGATTATTATCTTTTTCAGAAAATGGAGGAAAATCGAACAAATGCTGGTACTCAAAACATTTAACAACTCTATGGGGCACAGACCAACAAGGAAGGGGTGCTGACCAATCAGAGGAGATACTGGCGTGGTATACCAGTGTTGTGTGTACTGTCAGCCCCAGAGACGATGCACCAAAACCAGAGTGTACACGTGTATACTCGTGAATACATGAGTCTGTGTATACAAACATACATTCAAAAGTGAGGCATATTTCTGCTTAGAGATCCCAAAGTATGCAATAAGATTCAGCCCTTGCACTGGTAAAATATAGCAGTTAAGAAGGCCACGACCTAAATCAAGTTGAAGTCCTCTATTTGATTAATAAATCTATTTGATTAAGGTTTCTGAAAATAACTTGTATTAATTACTTTAAGGCAAGAAGGCAAGATTCAATTAAATATGATCACTAAAATTCTCATTATAAGATTACTAGAAAATAATTTAAAATCTGCTACCTATCAGAATAATACATCCCCTATCCCATCACTTATGAAAACTTTTACAATAAACAATTTGTGTCGGTACATTATAATGTGAACACATTCTGTGACTTCAAATAGAGGGTTAAACTATAGTTTTGAACTAAATGCTCTATAGTTAATTTCTATAGTTAACTTTTGCTAGATTTAATCTTAAAAATACCTTTAGTTATAAAGTATTTAATATGCTTTTAACATGGATGACTTAAAATGAGTCAGAGATTGTTTATCAAAGAAATTGACATCTACTCAAAAGAAGAAGCTCTATAACCTAAATCACATTTATTTTTATGAAGAGTTATAAACAAAATGAGTTACTAAATACAAATGTTAATTTATTTGAATAAGGCAGCACTCTTTACTGCTGGTGACTGTGGGAATACAATTCTCTTTTTTCCCTTCAAGGTCAGAAATGAATAACAGTGGGAGCTTCTACGCAACAGCAAGCTGTGCAAGCGGGAATACAAAAGGATGAGATGATAAACCAGCCTTCCACCTCTGCTTATTGCTCTTTCAGTTCATTGTATTTCTCCTTACCACTCTCTGGATTTGATGGAGAAGAGAAATGGAAGGAAAAAGTAAGGGGGAATAATCCACACTTCCAGATGCTATTCATCTTCATTCTCAAGGGTCTTTTCCCCACCCAATAAAGAATTTTGTGAGGGGGAGCTGAGGCAGTTTTTAGCGTCTTCTTCTCTGACTTCTTCCCTAACATCTACATCATGGGAGGGAGCAGGGAGATCAGAGAAGGAGCACACACACACACACACACACACACACACACGGGCAAAACTAATTTTCCCACAGTATCCAAAGTAAGATATTGAAAGAAAATATAAAAGAGACTATTTCTATTGACTTTTATCTGAGTTTTCTGAATGTTTACTCTAATTGGTGATTCTTTTATAATATACAGAATACATCAGTATAGTACATGTAAGTCCCACAAAGAACTTAAAGAAAGCTGAACCTAAGGAGGAAGATATCCTATTCACAAATAAAAAGCTTCAACATAATGAAGATAATCTCCCCTTAATTAATCTTAAAAGTCAATGGAATTTTGATCAAAATCCCCAGTGTCTTTCATTAAATGTGAAAAGCTGCTCTGAGATGTATATGAAAATAAACAGCCAAGTCAATCTTGAAGACTAAACTGGGAGTGGGGCCTTGATTTGGGAATATCATTTAAAAATAAAGGTACAATAATTAAGACAGTCTGGCATTAATGCAGACATGTGTATGAATATAAATAAAGCCTAAAAATATAATGTCAAAGAACAAAGCAAGTTACAGAACGATACATATACAATATATATTTTTAGGCGAAAGTACATAAAATGTAATGAACTTGGGTATTCATAACTACATATTAGGATATGTAGAAAAATGGGGGGGAATGAGAATATGCAAAGGTACAAAAAAGGTTCAGTATGTAGAGGCTTATTTCTTAATAATCAAAAGTACCTAAAATAAGTGTGGCAAAAACGCTTAGACACATGAAATGTGAATGCCAAGCACATCAGTGTTTATTACACTATCTTCTCTACAACTACATTTCAAAATAAAGCAAAATTTAAAGGCCAAGAGAGAATTTATTTATGTAAATAGGCATAAAGATGATGAATTGTTATTTCCAGAAATTCCTTTTGAAGGCAAGACTACATATTTTTCAAGCATGTTAAATATACCAGGGAATGTGCCAGATGCTCTATTATACCAGACAAATACTGCTCAGTCTTGTTGGTAACATTAGATTCCAGAAATACAAGGAGGGAGTTTTAACCAAACAATTATAAAAACTACTTTAAAAAACTGTTACAAAAGCCCATTTCAATGCAGAAACACTAAAAGTAAAGGCAAGGCAAATAAGGGTATTAAGAAATCACTAGCCCTTTAGAAATAATTTAAAGATTCCACATAAACCCTCATGAATTTCACTTTAGGTTTAATATTTTAAAAATATTTTATTTATTTATTTTCAGAGAGAGAGGGGAAGGGAAGGAGAGAGGGAGAGAAATATCAATGTGTGGTTGCCTCTCCTGTGTCCCCCACTGGGAACTGGCCTGCAACCCAGGCACGTGCCCTGACTGGGAATCGAACCGTGATCTTTTGCTTCACAGTCCCGCGATCAATCCACTGAGCTACACCAGCCGGGGCCCTAGGTTTAATATTTTTAAAGACCTCTACATGTCAAAAAATAACAAGTCAAACAGTGACCCAATTTAGTTCTTCGGTCACTAAGGGTGAAACATACTTATTACTATGTTTTATAATTATTTTAAAATTGTATCAGGACAAGACTGGACAATGACAATACAATAACCTCTAGACAAAAGGTTTAATGTGTCTGTGTGTAAAATGTTTCAGCAAGGAGAAAACTTAAAAGCAAGATTTAGGGAAAACATTATAGGCAACTTTGGCTGTAAAATGTGTTTTATGTATGTCAATTATATTTACTTCATAATTGCCTTAACTGTCCTCTTTATTTGAAAGGACAGTTATTGCCTTAAGTGTCCTTTTCCTGTTCCCACACAATAAAAATGTGTCCCATGTATTTTGGTAAAATAATGTAATTTTAAAAGCTGTCTTCAAGTGCTGACAGGAATTCATTTGTATCCCTGGCATCTGCCTCCAGGGCATCTTAAATTAATATGAAATGGTTGAGATAGAGGTTGGCTCAGAAAAATAAAATGTGATGTTAATGCACATTAGAAAGCCTACAGCTATATTACTTTTAAACAGAGAAAATCCTTTTCCTTTTCTATTACATTGCAGATATGTTGTATCTTTAGAAAAAATTAGGCACTCTGTATTTTAATTGTGTGCTCACAGCACCCTCTAGTGGGTGAGGTGAAGCAACCAAAAGGGAGATGGGAAAAAGTCTGAGAGAAAGAAATCACCCTACTCACTGATTCGCTCCTTTACCAGGAGGTTTTATTTACTTCACCCTTACTGCACGGAAAGCACTGTGTGGCTGCTGTCAGGAGTTGGGTGGGGAAATCAGGATATGCAAGGGGAACAAAAACACATACGGAAACAGCACAGGGAAAGTGAAGGGCATTAAATAATGAAAGCTGATCTAAAATGTAAATCTTTTTCACTTACAAAAGAAAACTAGATTTTTAGAAGACTTTAGAACTAGCTTCAACGTTACTTCAAACTAATCAATGTAGATAAAAATCAGGGAAAAGCATCCAAGATATACCTTGAAAAGTCAACTTTCTAGAATGTGTCAGAACATGTGCTTGTACACAGGCATAAAGAATTAAGAAAGTGCAGTTTATCACCTTCTGAGATCCTAACTTCACACTAATTATTAATTTGGGTTTATTTTAACATAATGTACAACTGGAAATATTTGCAAAGGAAAACTGGGCACTAGAATTCAGTTCTAGAAAACTGCAATTCACTTTTAATTTCCTTCCTATAAGTAGGTTGTATAATTTCCTATAAGTAAGCTATATAACCAACTCCCTAAAGGTGGGATGGATCTATTTGCAATAAAGAAAATAATTTCTTTATACTGGTTAAAAAAATTGGCTCTGGAAACAGACAATGTAGATTCAAATATTGGTTTCACCCAAGTAGCTGTGAATTCTTGGGCCTAATTTCTGAGTGTCTGTTTTCTCATTCATAAAATGGGGATGATGCTAGTTCCTACTGCACAGGAGAATGCTAAATACAGATGAAAGGCTTAACAAATGCTACTATTATTGTTGTTATTAATGATGCCATTCTTTGCTAGAAAGAGTATTTGCAAATAAGATATAATAAAATGAAAAAAATCCTTAAAATATTATAAGCCAAAAGTACCATAGGTAAACAGTGTACTTTTACCTAAAACTATATCTCTAAAACAGTGCACAGGACATATACACAAATGAAGACACAATAAAATAGTAGAGGTGGATTAATAATTTCTTAAACTAATAAGTACAAAGGCTAGATTTTTATTGCCAAAAGTTAACAAAGCTTAATGTTTAAATTTATAAATATTTTATAAATCGTGTCATTGTAAAGCATTATCTCTTAATAAATTTTCTTTACTTTCATAGTATAACTGTACACATTTAAGATATTCAGGAAGTGTTCTTTACTTTTAAAAAGCTGTTCATGACACTGTTATTTTAATGCACAGAATTTATTTTGAACCTACATTTCACAAATTAAAACATAAAGAAAATATGAATTTGGAGTTAATTTCTAGGCCTCAAATATCATGTATAATGTGATTATGCCCAAATTTATAAAAATAAAAAATAGCAAACAGCTTGCTACGCAACATCACCTTCAGAGATTTTGCCACTTGAACATGGTTATCATAGACTAAAATGTCTACTGTCAGATGCTGCAGCCGGTGGATGTGACTCAAATCCCCATGAAAAACAAGGTCTTGTATTAAGACTCTCCAGGACGGGTACGGTGGCCGGGTGCCATCCCACACCTGCCACAGAAAGGAAAGCAAAGTTTAATCACCTTTTACAAATCTGTGGAGGCTGAAAGAGTTTTGTTTGCTGACAACATAACTTAAAAGTAAATATCTGCTAAACTTTAAATGACTTGTATCCTTTTCTGGTCGTAAAAGAACTCCATATGGGCTGGTAATATAGAAAATGTAAAGAAAAATCATCTAACTACTATGACCATAGAAAAAAATGTTAACAAATTGTTGAACATACTTTATGTTTTTTCTTCTGTATATATTTTTAAAACTGGCATTATATTCTCCTTTTTTATTTCTTAGCATATTGTTGAGCAATTTATCAGAGATTTAAATATTCTTCTATAATAGGATTTTCAATGGCTTCATATTATTTTATGGTATGGATACAAATAAATTTATTAAACTAATAATCCCTTTATTGGTCATTTGAGTCATTTTAAATCTTTCATGCTATTTTAAATAACTTAGTAATTATCATCTTTATAGAAACTTTTATGAGTATTTCTGCTAGTATTCTAAAGTATAAATTTCTAGCTTTTAGGAATGATTGTTCAGTTTGTTCTGATTTGGGAGAGGCCTTTAAAAGTACAGGTAGGAGCACTTTGCTTATGAATACAAATGAAGAAACATCACAGGTCTAGAAAAGGGGGAGGTGTTTTGAACTGCTACGTGAAGTGTTCAGGAACAGGGCACAGGAGAAGTATGTGTGCACCACCCCATCCTCAAGACATGAGCCAGCCTGCACTGTGCTAGGGTTTGAAGAGATGACCTGGACTGTGTTGTGCTATCAAAGCATACGACAAGACACTTGGGATGCGGTGAGAATGCCTCTGCATGTCAGAAGTTTGGCTGGACAGAAGTAAATAGGCTATTTGGGCTTAAAAAAACACATTTGTATAAAGAAGGTGTCCGCCAGTGTCAGATTATAGAAGAAAAAATACTGAATAATGGTGACATTGCTAAGTGACAAATAAATAATTAGGAGTTTGTGTCACTCACTCATTCTGTTACCTAAATAATTCAAAGAACCAGTACAATTACTTTGGGAACAGTAATGTCATATGTCACAAACATTTTTCTCCGCTTGGAATTTGTTCTCAGACTTCTTTTGTGACTTTAAAATGGCTTTACAGACCAAACCACAAGTCTTTTGAGAGAGGGAATGAGCGGCCCCAGTGTTGTTTTTATGTTCTAATTTTACCTACCTAGAAATCAGACTTTTAACAATCTCTCCTTACCAATTTGAAATGTTATTTTCATCATGTATTGACTTACCATAGATATGAAGACCCTTCCTGAGGTTCCTAATCTTTTCCATTGGTCAGTCTTACTATAGTTTTAATTACTACACTTGTATACCATATTTCAGTATCTGACACAGACCTCCCACTTAGTTTTCTCTGGTAAGCCTTTCTTGTTTTATTCCTGATCATTTAATGTTCCTAATAAACTTCAGGATTATAATCAATTTTAAAAACAAGAATGTGGCTTTAATTACAATGGAATTTTATTTTATAAACACTTTAGGAAAAAATAAAAAACCTTTCAATAATCCAAGTTTTCTTCAAAGTTCTCCAGCACAGTTTTGCAGTCTCCTTCACAGAAGTCCGGGCATTTCTTGCATGAACGTTCCTACTTTACAGTCATTGAGACTTTGAAAGAGCCTTTGTTCAATTGTCTGTTCTACTGATTAACAATATATAGGAGAGCCACATTTTACTAATGTCTTAAATCAGTTAGCTGATTGAATAATTTTATTTATCCAAGTAGCTTCAAGTTAATTGTTAGGGCTTTTCTATCTTAAGTAATAACTTTTTCCTTTTTTTTGGGTAGTTAAATTGCTCATTTCTTTTTCTTATCTTAGTGAATTCCCCAAGGCTTCCTGAACATTTTATTTTATATATTTATGTTTTAGATTTAGTGTGATGACAACATTTTGTAATAGAGAAAGAGTGGGTCTTCTGTCTTGTTTTGGCATTATTGATTCCAGAATTCGAGCACTAAATATTGCCTATTTACCATATGACAGAAATTATTTGCCAAGAAGGTATACTTCTATTTTAAAATTGTAAACATGTTTATCCTGTTATAGTTGTCTCACTTTCCCTCCTTTTAAAAACCCCCTGCCCCAGCCCTACCGTCCCACAGTCAATCCCACATTCAGGTATGTTCTTTGTCTAATCCATTCACCTTATTTCAACCAGTCCCATCCTCTCCCACTCCCTCTTACAGTGATCAGTCCATTCCTTGTTTCGTGTGTCTGATTCTATTTTGCTCGTTAGTTTATTTTGATCTTTAGATTCCAGTTGTACGTGAGATCATATGGTATTTATGTTTCATTGCCTGGACACAGCGTAATAGTCTCCAGTTCCATCCATGCTGTCGCAAAAGGTAAGAATTCCTTCTTTTTCACTAAGGCATAGTATTCCATTGTGTAAATATACCGCAGCATTTTTATCTACTGATGAGTGCTTAGGCTGATTCCAAATTTTGGCTACTGTAAGTAAAGCTGCTATGAACACAGGGGTGCATAAGTTCTTTTGAGTTGGTGTTTCAGAATTCTTTGGATATGAACAAAAGTTCAGTAACACTAGCAATCAGAGAGAGGTAATTTAAAATCACAATGAGATACCACCTCACATCTGCCAAAATGGCTATCATTAACAAATCAGCAAAGATCAAGTGCTGGCGAGGATGTGGAGAAATGGGAACCCTAGCACACTGTTGGTGGGAATGCAGACTGCTGCAAAGCACTCTGGAAAATAGTACGGAGTTTCCTCACAAAACTGAAAATGGAATTGCCTTCTAACCCAGCAATTCCACTTTTGGGAATATATCTATTTCTATTTTGCTAAACATTTTCATAAATAATTTTTAAGTTGCATTTATTTATTTTTAAAGAGAGGGGAAGGGAGGGAGAAAGAGAGAGAGAGAGAATCATCAATATGTGAGAGAAACATTTATTGGTTGCATCTTGCATGCCCATAATCAGGGACCTGGCCCACGGTCCAGGCATGTCTGATTAGGAATCAAACCAGCGGCCTTTCGGTTTGCAGAACAATACCCAATCCACTGAGTGACACCAGTCAGCGGCATTTTCATGAATATTTTAAAAATTCACTAATATGATAACATAATTCTTAACATTCATGGAGATGACTAAAGTTCCTGAAATTGAACCATTCCTGATTTCTGAAATTAAACTTTTAGGTTTTCACATTTATCAATAAAACTTGGATGTGTGTCCTTGTTTTGTGCCATATCTGAGCTCATAGTCACTTTAGTAAAGTCAATAATTGATAATTTTTTAATTAAATTTAAATTTAAAAAATAAAAAATGTAATAATATAGATGGACATTTATGAACATAAAAGTTAAATATAACATTGATGAAGTTTAAACTTCCTCAATATATGTAAATATATATTTGTATCATTTCTGATTTAGAAAATTCTTTCATCTTTTTAAAAGTCAGAATAATCTAATTTTGTTTCTTAAACTGTTGAACTTATTTATATTTTTCTGTTTTTTTCAAAAAATGTCTTTAATTATACTTAACAATTCTTACCTATCTTATTGTGAGGAATCAGGTACTTACTGTTGGGAAATGGGTACTTTCATACATGAGGGTAAACTTAGCAAGAGCGATCAAAATGTCAAATGCAGTAATGCTTGAATCAGCAATTCTATTTCTAGCAAATTTTAACCCACAATTTTCTTCAAAATGTGTTATAATACTGGAGATACGAATCTAATCAGTTAATTTTTAAAAATGATTTAAATTGATTTCTAACTCCTAAGTATTTTACACAAAAGAAGAAAAAAGATCTTGACAAAGACTCCTATGTATTAATATAGATTACACAGTAAATTATGGCGGCTTTAAAAAACTTATGATAATGACTGTGATTTTTTATACAATATTCAGTCTTGTTCTTAGATTAGTTATACAGTATTCTTTCCTCCGCTGTTTCCAGACAAATAACTGCCTGGTGAAAATCAGAATAGTCCCTTTAATATAATGATTTTCTGGTTTATGTTATCTTTTTTGATCTCTAAACCACATTACAAATTAGATACAAAAACTATCTACCAGCTCTGGCTTCCAAATGAAGAATAGCTCTGGCTGTTCAAAACAAACAAAACATTAAGAAGATGAGGCTGTGCATATTGAAGAAATGTAAGGACTTAAAGTAACTCTAACTGAAGAGTTTACTACTCAGAAAGTAAGTTGTGTAAATAGAAGAAAATGTGGATTAATGTTAGTAGGTGTACAGATATATTAAACCATGATTTTAATGCAAACCATTGGTGTAATATGTCTACTAGATTAATTTAAATGAATGCATCAAGGTCACTAACGAAGGGACCAATATTAATATCATATCCAGACTGAGACAGAAAATAATTATCCTATATTTCATGCTGACCAGATCTCATTTGGAGAATGCCTGGCTCTTTTTGTTTTTAAACATAATTTTAAAAAGTTATTTCTGGCCCTGGCTGGTGTAGCTGAGTGAATTGAACACGGGCCTGTGAAGCAAAGGGTCGCGGGTTCGATTCCCAGTCAGGGCACATGCCTGGGTTGCAGGCCAGGTCCCCAGTGGAGGCCATGTGAGAAGCAACCACATATTGATGTTTCTCTCCCTCTCTTTCTCTCTCCCTTCCCCTCACTCTAAAAATAAATAAGTAAAATATTTTATAAAACTTATTTCTGGTTTGCAGTAGGAAAATCAATTTCAGAAGAAAAAAATCACTTAAAATTTAACTCCCCAGGGATAAAGACAGCAAGTACCATATTGCTATATTTTTTCAATATATGTTTGCTATGTACATAAAATATTTTTAGTATATAATAAGAGCTGCATTAATCACTAAATAGAACAACATGGATATCTATCTTAATAAATATATGTCTACAATGTCATTTTATATTCACAGAGTATTCTGTAATACATAAATATTTCAAGTAATTCCCTATTGTTAGTACCTGAGTTTTTTCTAATTTTGTTACTATAAGAAATATAAGATTAAATATCTTTTAAATGTATTTTTTCACATTTTAAATTATAACTAAATTTATGAAAACAATTGTTGAGTCAGAGAGTATACAAAGGCTTAATTTTTATTTTAAATTGTCCTCAAGAGAGTCTTATTAATGTAATTTCTTACATTTACTTCTGAATGCTGTACTCTAAAATAACTTCTACATGATAGCTGTTTTCCCTGATCTGCACAGGCAATCTATAAAAATGGGATGGAGACACATGCTTTGTCATTTTAGAGAGGAAATGTAGATTCAGCCAGGTCAGCTAAAAGGTGGCCGATTTTATCACAGAATTTGGAATTTTCTAATGACACAGTAGTCAAAAGTGTGTAGTTTTCCACACAGCAGAGGTATTCAGTATTCATTACTGAATACTCCATTGGAAGTATTCAGTAATCAGTAAATGCTCATTTGTTAAGGGCATAACTTTGGGCAGAAAGTATGACTGCTTGACCTAAGTTTCTTTTCTAATTTTGTTAGAATGCTTTTATTGCAGCTTCAGCTTCAGCTTTTTCACACTTGACTTATTTAACTTTCTTTAGAGCATGCATTACATTTTGAGAGTAATGTATATATAAATATGCTGTTTTCAACTTCAAATACTTTGTATTGTGCTCAGTGGTTTCTATCTCCTCCATTCCTTAATGTGGGTAAGGTGTAAGTGATAGTAATGCTAATCCCCAGTATTTATCCAAGCTCCACTGCAGGCCATTTCTTGTCCTACTGTTCCAAAGAGTAGGAGCTAAAGAAATAACCACGGGTGCTAGGCTGAAGCAGGGTTTGTTTAAATGAAATCTGCCTTGGAAGGGCAGGTGCGGATAACATCAGAAAACTATCTTCTCCAAAAGCTATTTGTGACTCAATGGGCACAGTTATAAACAAAGATTAGGTGGGTCTTATGTCATTTTTTATCCTGCTGATACAAAACAAAACATAAGAGCAATAAATATTCCAAAACTATCTGTGATCTACCCATGAAGCAGGCTGACAAATGGACATGGGACAAAAACTCAGCATCAAATGGCCAAGAAAGTAAAAGGAAAGAAAGGCCAACATGGCAGGGAATCAGAAATACACATACGTAGAACTGCAACTAAAAACAGTAATATTTCCAGTATTGAAATAAGTAGTACATATTTTATTAGTACTAAAATAAAAATACTTTATTAGTATTAAAATGAGTACATAAATAGAATACAAACTATACTACATTTAAAATATAGATCTGATAATACTATTTTTCTCTAGAAGTACAGGATAAAGAAGAGAAATTCAAGAGTAGAGTTGCATGGATATCCAGGCTTATCAAAAAAATGGTGTTAGATTTTAAGTTCTTAATATAACATGCAGAATGAATAGTTAGTCCATCAGAAGGCTACAATATAAGCTCTTCATGAACATGTAGCTGGTGCTAACTTATAACTGCAAGTATTTAAAAATAACTACCTTTAGAAGAAATGATGCTCCATCCACTTCTGCTTTGCCCAAGAGTTGGCACGTCAGGTCAAAGTACTGCATTGGCTGAACATCACTCAATTTTACTGATGTAGAAGAAGGTGAAATATGAGTAGATGCCCAAGCACGTAAGGTTTCTACCATTTTGTGATCCTCAGTTGTGAAGTTAAAATTCTTGTTTGAAGTACGAGGTATGACAGGAGCTCCCAAAGTCCCCTCAAATGTCAAAGATGCAAAGCCAGAACTGGTGATACCTTGAGTCTCATTTTTATATACTTGGATCTGAGAAAGTGGGACAAAGTAGAAAACAAAACAGAAACACACAAAACTGCTTACTGATGCAAACCTTGAGAGATCATAAAATCCTGCCAGTAGAGTTCACAGAGGACAATATTCTTTAATATTTCATTTAATTAGCATATGAAATACAAAATCAACTAGGCTCTCTCAAGGTCCCCAAGTACCATGTAAACTGTAAAACACTATGCAAAATCTATTCCTATTTTTTAAAGAGCTAGGTATTAGACTCCCTAATCCCATCAAACTTGTATTTTAATATTAGTTTTAATTTATAGAATGAAAAATAACAAGTGACAATTACTTAAGAATGTAACACAGAAAACTAGAACACCTAAAAATGAGTTTGAAGTCAATACAATGCAGCTGAGCTGAAATATGCTGTACTACTTTATGAATTTGCAGCTCAGGTATTAGATGCATGTGCATTCACGATGTTACATCTTTACAAAGCATTCCATTTTTTCACCTTGTAAAATGCTTCCTCCTTTCTGATGTCTTGTGAACGCTACCTGATATTAATGTACTTATTTTATTTTCCTAATACTTACTCTTTGCTTCATATATCTTTTCTATAGCTTTACTTCCAACTTATTTTCATCATTTCTTATAGAGATATATTTGATTCTTGCTTTCAAAAAAGATTTTAAAAGATTTTTAAGATTTTTATTTATTTTTAGAGACTGGAAGGGAGGGAGAGAGGGAGAAAAACATCTGTGTGTGAGAGATGCATCAATCAGGTGCCTCTCGCACACCCCAAACTAGGGACCCGGCCTACAACCCAGGCCCTGACCGGGAATTGAACCAGTGACCTTTCTGTTCGTAGGCTGGCACTAAAATCCACTGACCACACCAGTCCAGGCTGATTCTTGCTTTGTATCAGTCTATTTTTTCCTCGCAAAAGGCGGGAGAAGGTACAGAGAATAAGTAGCATAGAGGGTAGGTACAAAATAGACAGGAGGAGGGCAAGAGTAGTGCGGGAAATGAAGAATCTACAGAATTTGTGACACAGGGATATGATCTAAAGGGGAGGATGGTGGGGGAGGGGGTGTGCAGGGTGGAGGAGAATGAAGGGGGAAATTGGACAACTGTAATGGCATAATCAATAATATATATATTTTAAAAAGGAGTATTTAGTCCCTTTAAGTAAATGTAATTACTGAATGGTTATATTTTAAGTCTATTGTCTTACTCGTTCTCCTTACTTGCTTTAAAAAACTTGTTTTTCTTTCCTGCCTTACTTTGAACATATTAGCGTTCCATTTACTTCTTAGCTATGAATGAATCCTTAACATCTCAGTTGATTTGTTATAAATATTGTTCTACTACATGCCTCTTATTTTTCATATCCCCATTTTATACTTCTTACTGAAAGTATCCTAACTCTTAAAGGTCAGAATATCTCAGAGGTGTAATTCCTTTCAACCTCCCCAACCCATCCCTTGTGCTGTTATTGTCATGCTTTCCTACATGTTTTACATGCCTGGCCTTCCGGTATCATTCTTTTTCTTTTAAATAGCCATTTATCTTTTAGTAAAATTATAGTTAGAAATTCAAAACTCTATGTTTGCTCATTAATTAACCAATTTTTGTCATTTCCTCACGATCAAGATTCTAACAACAGCATTCCTCTCCCTGAGGACCCTGAATACCAACCTTTACCATTTTCTTTGTTATGAAGATATGCTAGGTATGGATGCTTTCATTTTCAATTACACAAAAATGTCTTTATTTTACCCTAATTTGTAAGGTATTTGGTATCTGGATACCAAATTCTAGGTGAACAAATTTCTTATCGCCACTCAAAATCCATCATGACTTTGTTCTTCAGGTGTTGTTATTCGTGGTCAGTAATCAAAGATGACTGGTACCATCGTTTCCTAATATGAAATGTGTCATTTCTACAACAGCTGATTTCAAGACTTTTCTATTTCAATGCCACCATGATTTGTTTAGATGTGCTTTTCTTTGTGGTACCACACATAGAGATACCTAGTTTCTGGGATCTATAAGTCGATATTTTCCATCAAATTAGGAAAAAATTCTGGTCCTTATTTCTATAAATATTTTGCACATTCCCATTCTCTTCTTTTGTATCTCATAGACATGTTTTACCACGTGATATTACTCCACAGATCCCTAAGGGTCTGTCAATTTTTCCTTAATTCTTGTTCTTCAGGTTACATAGTTTCTATTGATTTATCCTCTTGTAAATGTTAACATGTCTGATCTGCTATTTAGTCCATCCAGTAAATGTTTCATTTCATTTGCTGATGTTTTCAGTTACTCAATTTCAACTAGGTTCTTTGTTAGTTTCCATTTCTTGCTAGGATTTCTTATCTTGCATTAAGCACAGTTTCTTTAATTTACTGAATGTATTTTGCTTAATTCTTTGAAAATATTTATAACTGGCTTAAAGTCTTGTTTTAAAAATGTAACATCTGGGCCACTGCGAAGTTGGCTTGAAGTTAATGGGATTATTTTTTCTTGACTATGGGTAATATTTTCCTATTTCTTTTCATAACTAGCATTTTTTCATCTTTACTAGACATTGTGGATGATGTTCTGTAAAGGCTCTGAATTTTGTTACCTCCTTCTGACCAACACTGATTCTTGTTTTTATCTGCGCTTCAGTTGGTGAATCATTGCCTTGCACCTACAAAGGCATGGCTTTATGTTTCATTAGGATGAAGCTGTGGAAAGCTCAAAGTGTTTCCCAAAGTCCTTCTGCCTTAGTGGGACTCATCCTGCAATATTATCTTCCCCCCGGAGCTTGTTTTAAGCTTTGATAAACATACCTAGAGGAGGCTTTACTCTAGCATTCGATCCTTTGTGAAGTGAGACCTTTGGTTTCAGCTGAATAGCCAACATATTAAGGACATATTAATAAATTTATTTCTGATTAGGTTAGACCTCCAGCATACCACTGCTACACTTATAGTATCTGTTTCATGTTTAACCACCAAGTGCAACCACATAGCGGCTCTTGTCACCCTTAGGTAGTCTTATCCTATCCATGTACAGCCCAGCTTTGCCCAAGTGTTCAAGAGCAACAAACCTTCCTGGCAGACTTTTGACTGTCCCCCTCAGTATAATTCTGCCCTCTCTGGTGAACTGTCTTGAAGATCCCGGCTGCCTCTCAGCTGCCTCAGCTTAGCAGGACTACTATTTTCTGCTTGCACTTCAGTGCGCTGTGCAGTGGTTGGAAAACTGGCCCCAAGCAAAGCTGTGATGACCATGTGGCTTACTTTATCAGCTTCTCTTCTCTCACTGATCACAGGTGCCTGTTGTCCAATGCCTGAAAACAGTTGCCTCATACTGTCCATTTTTTCATCTTTATAGCAGTAGGGCTAGTCTAGTACCATTGATTTCTCAAAGACATGTAAGTTCACTCTGTAGATTCTAATCATACCTGTCTCATAAATAACTGATCAGATAACTTGTTTTACACATATTTAAGTGGGTTTTGTTATTTTATGTATTTGCTATTCTTTTTTGATTTAGGCTTTACTTAAATTTCCAATCATTCTTGGTTCTGTGTTCATCTTACTTTGTATCACGAATTCCATGTCCACTAGTCTATACTGTTGACCAAAGTCCGCCTCTGCTGACCATTATTAAGGTAACCACCCTAGTCACAGCATCCCCATCTCAAGATTGTACAACTGAAATAACCTCAGAACAGATCTACATTCATGCCTATTGCTTAAAATCCATTCATTGCCCACAGAAATATCAGAGTGCTTTGTCAAAATATAAACCAAATCATTCTATTTAAACCACTCCCATTTGAACAGAGTAAAATCTAAACAACTTACTTACCACAGGCAATGTATCAACTACCCTCTACCTTCCTCTCCAGTTTCACCTTGTACCACCTTTTCCTACAGTTAGTGACTAGGATCCATTATGGCCTTCTTTCTGTTCTTCCAATCCCAGGCTCATAACTATCCCAGAACCTTAGTACCTACATCTTCTTCCACCTGCCTGGAAAATATTTTTTCTCATATCTCAACAGAACTTCTCTTCCCCATCATTTGGGATTTGAGTCTTATGCCTCCTCATTAGAAAGGCCTTTTCTGATTCTGTTTTATTTTCTTCATGGCAGCTATCACTATCTTTCACTATCACATGAACCTTGGCTTACATGTTTGCTTTTAAAAAGTGTCTGTCTCTCTTCGTTAAAACAAGACTGTACAAAATAGGCAATCAAAAAATATTTGTTGAAAAAACAAACAGAGACCTTGACTCCTGTTTTATTCATATTTTCACTACAAACAATGATCTCCAAATTGTGATGAGTCAAAAAACCCCAAAACAAACAAAACACACACACAAAAGAAACCCTGACAAGATGAAACATGTCTGTATTTTTAATGGCCTTGTCCAACTTAAAACAAAACAACTTTTCAGGCTATTCAAAACTAGCTGAGCTATCAAGACAAAGAGTGTAAGACACACTATTAGATCTAAATAGGAACATCTCATAGCAATAAAGAAATCAATCTTTTAGGAAGAAATCCTAACCTAAATCTATATAACAACCTCAAAATAGAAAAAACATAAAATGTAATTAAACAAGTGAGCCTAAGTCCAAGTAGAAAAGATAATTTGTCTATACCAGGGGAATCTTTAAAAGATGCTTTTCAATAAAATAAGTATATACAAAATCAGAAAGAATATAGGTCTGAACAATACAATTAAAAACACAATCTAATTTATATTTACAGAGCATAGTGCTAACGAGACTCACTTGAGTGTTCACAGATCATTTGCTGCAATTTACTATATGCTAAAAGAGTGATTTTCAACCAGCGTGCCCCAAGAGGCACAGTGATGTGCAGCGAGAAGGTTTAAAACACGCAATACCTGATTATTTAGTCACGGTCACTGACCTATTTTCCCTTAGATCGTCAAAAAAAAAAAAAAAGAAAGAAAGAAAAGAAAACTAACAACAATAGCCATCTATTGTGAAAGATTCTAAATTATATCTACTTTTTTTAGATCAGTAAAAAATACATTTTTTAGTGTGCTGCAGGTTCTAGCAATTAGTTTATGTTTGCCATGGAGGAAAAAGGTTGAAAATCATTATGCTAAAATATAAAGTAAAAGTCCACAAATTTCAAAATATTAAACATTTTAAAGTCTGTTCTCTGACCAAAACATACAGCAATAATAAAAAGCTAACTATAAAATAACCTAAATATTAAAAATACATTTAATAAAATAATTTTTAATAAATAATTTAAAGTATATTCATACATATATTTATAGAAGTATATTGACTTCAGATAAGCAATCAGCTGGAAATCAGAAAATATGCTGAGCTGAAGGATAATAAATTTGTTACAAATTAAACCTGTTGACTAAATCTAAATTAATACATAGAGAAAAATTTATAGGCATAAGTGAGTATTTTATAAGTTAAGAAAGGCTGAAAATCAGAGATTCAGACTTCTAACTCAAGAAGCTACACAAATGTATCTCAAACCCAAGGAAAGTAGAAGAAAAACGTAAGAAAAATAGAAATATACATAAAGAAAAATCAAAGTGAAAAGCTGGGTTTTTGAAGAGATTAATAAAAATGATAAACCTAGGAAGACTGATTTGGAAAAGAACAGAAGAAACATAAATTATAATATCAAGATGGCAAAAAAAGAATTTATCGTTACAAATCCTAAAACATGTAAAAAATGATATTATGATCAACTTTATATTGACTAATTTAACAATTTGGGTAAAACAGACACAACTTTTCAAAAATCAAGTTTATCAATCAAAGCATTTTTCAAATCTATCAATCAGGAAATCCCCGGGCTCAGACAGCACCATCAGTGCACTATTCCAAGCATTTCAGGACAAAAAAGAAATCTTGCACAAGCTCTTCTGGAAGTGAAAAGGTGGGGGCACTCCCTGTTTTCATGTGGCAGCGCATTAACCAAGAACTTAAAAAAAAAAGAAAATTAAAGATCTAAATACAAGACAGAATAACAATAAATGACTTAAGGAAACTTAGGAGCCATCAAGTAGAGCAGACGGAGTTCTTCAACAGGACACAAAAAGTACTGACCATAAAGGATGCACTGTATAAATACACGTATTTCAGGTCCCAAGAGTGTGTGAGAAAAAAGCTATTTAGTGAAGTCTGAATAAACCCACAATAGGGACTAAAAAAGTTCTGCTTTTATCTTCACACATTCTCTACTGTTCGTCTATTCTTGCGGAAAAGGAACAGACAGAACAAGGGAGGTAATGCCCACCATAGCTAAGAACAGAACACACCTGGAATATTGTGCTCATTTATAAGCATCATGCTGACCATGAGGGACACAACTAACTGAAGTATTAAAAGAAACAGAAAACCAGGATAACGAAGGGGTTGTATGGAAACCCATGTAAGAAGAGGAAAAATAAAGTGACAAAAATGCTTAAAACCTAAGAGATTGAAAACAATCAAGTACTGCAAAGCGGATTTAAAAAATCACATAATATTTTAAAAATCTAAAAAATCACATACTATTTTAAAATTTAAAGTGATTTAAAAAAATCACATACTACTTAGTAGATTTGTTTTTATGCCAAGGGCTTTCTTATATTTAATTATTTAACTGCTAGCATAACTTTAAAATATACCTAAGTATCTGTTCATATTTTAATGCATTTCTCATAAATTATGATCAACTTTTTAAAATTTTATATTTAATATCTCAATGCTTTCTTGTACCTGAATTAATATAGCAAACAGAAAAGAATAATACAATCTCCCAATACTCATACACTTCTGTTGTTGTTATCTAAAACTTTTTTTAAAAATGAAGTTCTGTATCAAATTCTACATGGAAGATTTACAACATTAACCTGTATTTTGAAGAAAACAGAGTGCAACCAGTTTGAATCATGTCATCTAATCCATTTTCTGAGGAAGGAGGGGCAGGCAGTTTGTTCAAATGAAGAGATTTCCTAATATAAATTATCTAAAGCCTGATACTACTTACTTTCTTTTTATCTCTTAACAATGCTTGATGTCATGTTCTAACAAAGCAACCACATAATTAGTACTAACTAATTTTAGTGAACAATACAGAGTGCTCTTCAAAAATATAAAAGTTCTAGACAGTATGAATTATACCTTCAGCCTGTGAAAGCGAACAATATCTCCATTTTTATAAATTATTGGAAGGCTTTCATAATTTCCACTAAAGAGCAGGCAGGTCAACTTTACATTAGTCTGGTCCACAATTGTAACAACCGAACAATAATCTGAAAAATACAAAAATATTTTACCTGATTGTTAGTATTTCAAGGATTTGACAAAATAACAACATGCCCAGTTCAAAATATCAAACAAACGTTATCCCTCCCTTTAATTAAGTCTTCTAAAATAAAAACACAAAGACATTTTCTTTGCTGTCAAAATACACTACAAAATTATTTTGCAAGTGTTCCACAAAAACTAAATTTGGTAAAACAAAAATTAAAATTTTAATAGAAATTATCTAGAATGGCAAATGGTAACAGGATGAAGGGTGGGAGGCAGGTGTGTGTAGGGAGGGGGAGTGGTGGTAAGAAAATGGAGACAACTGTATTTGAACATTAATAAAAAATTAAAAAAGAAAAATAAATGTGTATTTATTCATTAAAATAACTTTATGACTTCAAAGTTTAAAAAATCATGGTGCAGATAAACACATTCAATATATCAGTAATAAAATAAATATAAATTTAGAGTGAAAGTAAGAGACCAGTAGATATTTGCAACAAATGTGATGATGAGTCAATATATCACAGAAAGATCCTATGAAAACTGGTTATAAAACCTAGAATTTCACAGTAAATATGTAATTCAAATGAGCAAACAATTCACTGAAAACTATATATACAATAACAAACTTGAACAGGAAAATGATTTGCTTGTTACCTCTAAAAGATTACGCTGGAAAAATTTAATGATAGTTGAGTTGCCATGAAAACAGTAACTTCACAATGGTGGTAGTAAAGCTGTAACATATGCTGCCTTTTAATATCCGTTTCAGATAATTCCACACAAAACAACTGTGTTGACCTCCTTCCTGGTAGCCTAGTAGTTACAATGTATAGATAGAAAAGAATATACCCAGAACAGTGAAGTAATAGGAGAGAAGGGAAGAGAAAAAAGTAAAGGGCAAAAGATATCAGCATATTTCAAGAAGATGGGAAAGTAAATGGTTAAGAGATAAAATCAACAGAGGACTCTGCAGACCAGAAAATATTATAAAAAGGTTTCTGCTTTATTGTCTCAGTGGATGGAAGCCACTGACATTAAGAATGGAAGTGAAAAGTAGAGCCCAAATCAATGTTAATTATAAGTTCACACACAGAACCACTGTCTCAGTGTCCACCCCTCTTGACCCCCACTCCCTGTGAAAATGACTTCAAATAGATAGGCACAGAATCTTAGTGTTTAACCCCATCACTTCCTGGAGCTTAACTGTTTTCCAGGAGTTTCACTGATTAACTGGAAGTGGTAGTTTGTAATGTGGGTGTTACCACTCAGAATAAATGTCTCCTTCATTATCACCAGAGTGGGCCCATTCCCACACACACTAGACTGACACTTTCAATCAACACCCTATGTAAGTACTAATTGTCTCCATCAGATTTGCCATTCAAGGAAGAGATCAAGTTGGAAAAATAAACTTCTTATACAAAGCGAAGGTGACGAATTTCTATAATACGAAATAAACCACCCCTAGATTTTTAAATGTAAAGTCAGCAATTACCAGAAAATGAACAAAAATGGAAGGGGGGGACGAAAGAAGGAAGGGAGGGAAGGAAGAAGGAGGGAACCTAGGAGGGAAAGGGGAAAGAGGGGTGAGTAGATGAGAGCAAGAGTGGAGGGAAAGGGGAAAGAGGGGTGAGTAGATGAGAGCAAGAGTGGAGGGAAAGGGGAAAGAGGGGTGAGTAGATGAGAGCAAGAGTGGAGGGAAAGGGGAAAGAAATGGGAGAAGGGGGAAGAGAAGTAAGGAGCAGGGCGGGGGGGGGGAGAGAATAAACAGAAACCTGATTCTGTGGGGGGAAATAATTCAGAGAACATTAAAAAACCTTGAAAATAAAAACTAAACCTTAATAAGCATCTTCAAAAAAGTTAACATGCTCATTTCTTCATATACTAACAGGATCCACTGAACCCAATTTTAGTTTTTGAGTTTCACTTTCAGTAATTCTAACAAGGTTAGGAGTGTTATTTCATGACTTTTTTCTCTCTTAGTAGTCTTCCAAAGATCATTAAAAAAAATAACAAATTTTACTTTTTTAAATACAATAAAACACATTCATATGCCACTGTCATATGGCTTTTACCTTTTTAAAATCTAAGATACACTGTGGGATCTTAGTCATCTATTCCCCTACTATATCATGAAATACATTGTCATTTGACTATCTTACAATTACTTCACTATTATTCCTATCTATACTAAAAAAAAGACAATTGATTTAAAAAATGGGAAAACAATGGAACTGACTAGAAAAATGACAGGAGTGAAATTAATCATTATTGCACTGCATTACTCTAAGAACTGGAACACAATTCAACAAGATATAATAGGAATTTGAAGACACTGACTTTGGAGTTTCTTCTTTAGCTTTATTTAAACACAGTTAAGAATTCAGAACCAGAAAAGTTTTGCCAGTAGTCACAGGGAAGAAAATTGATGAACAAAGTCAGTTATTCAACCATTATTGGATGAATAAGAAAACAAAGACAAAGAAGCACTTTACATTCCACTGATAATGACGAATGTCTTTTGAATAAAACACAAACTCTCTGAAAATTTTATGACAGAAATTCCATGACAGAAAAACATAAGGACAAAGAGTTTAGCCTAACAAAATCCAATTCAGGCATATATACATTATCAAACTTTTTTAAAAAAATGTTTTGTTTCTTAATAGCTTCTGTAAAATCACCTATCACAAATTATTTATAATTGTGCAAACTCACATTTCACATTCATACCAGAAAACTATTTACTACTTATATCTACAATGTTATTTTTATTGCAGGAATTCTATACTATTCTCATTTTAAATGTTTCAAAATGAGCCAGTTTTGTAAACTGTGGATATAAGGCAACAACAAAACTGCAAATCTAATAGGCATAAATAATAATAAACTTAAATGTTAGCCAAGGTTAACTGACAGAGCCCAGTAATATAAAAGCTACATAGGGTCCACATAATTTTTAAGAGTATAAAAAGCTTGAGAACCACTGACACAGAGCAACAATATCCTACATGATGAAGATAAAAATTCATAAAGTACAGATCACCAGAGACAAAGTCTCTTGCAATTTCTACCACGAATTACAAAAAAGAAAAAAGTGGCCCTTCCCTCTTTCCAGTTCGCAATAAAAAGCAAGTCATCTTAAAAAAACAAATAATAAATTGCTTGAAAGTAAAGCTCTATCAACCTTAATAGGTTCACAATCCCTTAACTTGATTCCATGGAACAACAGTTTCAGCGAATAAGAATCCAAGTGCATTAAAAAGGGTCACATGTTCAAGTACTTTCAAATGAAAATATCTTAATAACAAACATGTTCCTTTACTGAAAGTTTTCAGAGGTTATGTGCAAATACACTGTCATTCTCAAGAGCTAAGTATGCAGAATTTCCCACTTTTTCACAGAAAGTTTCACAGGACTGGTGTTTCTTCCAGTAAAAATGGGCTTTCTTAAAAGCTTATATAGATTAGGTCTGCAAGTAAAGGAACTGGTTATTATTAAGCTATTTTAAAAGGAGCATTACTGAGAAAATTGGATAGCTTAAAGCCTCATAAGCCTCATCTGAGGACAGCTATTCAAGAATCCAGTTTACAGTTCTCTGAAGACATTCTCTTTAGGGAGTTCTTGCCTCTCCATTACCTACCCTTTTAACAATCTATAGTTAGAGATGTCGTCTCTTTTTTGCCTTTTTATCTCCCTCTTTGTTATTTACAAGAGTGCAAAAAAAAAATCAAGAGTAAATTCCCATTTTAATGCTTCATCTTGTCAAACTAATTGCTATCTTGACTTCTCCTACCCCTCCTGCAGGTGATCAGAAGAGGGGTGGCATCCTATCTCGCCCAGAAAATGAGCAAGAAGCAACCACCATCTTAAAGAATGTTTCCCAAATTGCATGAACTATAAAATTAAGTACCAAAATAAACTTTGAAGCCACTGGGTGAGAAAAAAACCTGGATAACATATGTAACCTTATAACCTTTCCTTACTAAAAAGCCTTTATGGGGATACCCAAACCCCTCCCCCGAAATTATCTTCTGGAGGGCAGGCCCCTTGTAGTACAGGCTTCCCCGACTAGGTGAATGAATGTTCAAGGAGCCCATCCATACCCGTGTACCAGCTGCTGCTGTGGTGAAAGGCTACATTCTGCTTCAGTGATTTTTTGGAACACTCTTTCAATGTGTTTGCTTTTCATGATGGGTGTTTTATGGGCACACCTGCCTATACCTTACTGAATATTTACCAGTCTTTGACCAAAAGTGGTATGACCCGTGTCCCATACTCCCTATTCACCTGATCTTACCCCAAGCAACAAATTTTGTGTCCCCAGATGAAAAATTCCTCAAAGGTAAATGTTTTGCCAATGTGAGAGGTGAAATAAAAAACTGCAGAAGCACTAAAAGGCATCAAAATATATGAGTTCAAAAACTACTTTGGGCAGTGGAAAAAAATCTCGATAGTTGTATTGCATCAAATGGAAAGTAATTTGAAGGTGTCTGAAGTTTAAACATGTAAGAATAAATGCACAATTTTTAATAAATAATTTGTTTTTCAGAGTCCCCCCTCACAGAGCAAAAGCCCAAAGACAATCAGAAAACAACTAATATAGTTTCCATCTTCTTTATACTAAAGTTTATAGGTATGTGTTTACAATTTACTACACAAGTTAGTATTCTGAACTAATGAAATAATTTAAAAAATCAAAGCTTCTAATTTTTAAAGGGTTTAAAAAAGCATTATAGTATTTAATTATATATCATTATGGACAAACTATATATCCACAAATTTGTACAACACATTGTGGATTTAAGTGAACCAACATGAACAAAATACCATACATTTCATTGTGTGTAATATTTTCCTCAAAGAATTGTATATTTTGAACTGAAGCTATTAATAGTTATACTGAAGTATTTAGGGATGATGTGGACTGATATTTTCAGTTTACTCTGATGTGTGAAGTGAATCAAAAAATAAATGAATTAATGGATATACTAAT